TATTGCAATAGAAACACTAAATACATATGGTTTGTAAACTTACCACAAAAAATATAAAACAAGCTGCAGCTGTATGATAAATCATTGTTGATAAGATGTGCAGGTAATGGGATGCACCCCAGAAAGGAGAAACAGTACCGATCTCCAATTAACCACTACTCTGCTATTTTAGAGCACTGATCCGTAGAAGTAAACCGTGTGCAAGGTTAAGGGAATAAAATTTACTCATTCAAAAGATGTACAACTAAAAAATAAACGGTAATGCCCCATGTTCATATCGGAAGTGGACCTCCATGCGTACGCCGCATCAACGTGACAATATATCTCGGAAACCGCGTTTACATAACTAATGATCATCCAAATCAGACTACGGTATTCCAAACGCGTTTTTTCGGCAATCTATTACACAAATTCTGATGTAACATTTTTCAGGATCTCCTTGCATGCGGGGAAGTGATTCAGGTGCAGAATGACATGGATCTGCAAACACTTTGGTGTTAACCTTTAGCACCCATTACTTTACACAGATGCCATGTACCAGCTTATTAAACTTGAACATGTTGTAGATAACTGAGAACTTACTGAAACCGAAACACTGGTACCTCGTTGCAGTGCACAATCGCATATAACAATATCATCGACCTACCGACCATCGACCTAATACTGACGTACTGCTCGGCATTCTAGTATTCTAGAATAAGGCGTAAGCGATCTCCCGTAATTTTAGTATGGCCCGCAATTGGTATTTTTTTACTCCTGCCCGCGCAAGACTGACCACCTGTGATACCGTCACAAAAAAGAGTTTTACATACACCCAATAGTTCTGACACTCACAGCGCCGCAGGAACAGAAGGATTTTTTACAATTTTTAAACGCTTTTGTAATTCGTTTGTCGGGGAGGCTTGGTTGTAGCTGCCGACTATTGTTGATTTACCCAAATACTGATATAATATAGGACGTATTGTACGTATTCTATTTTTGTTATTACAGTACGTAGCATGGTTTGGTTTCTCCTGCGCACAACAACACATAAGCCCTCGTGTGTATACGTATTTTGCCCTTGGAGAACATTCTCTTTTTGGAAATTAATTTGTAAAACCATTTATTCTATTGCTGAAATTTAATCAGCCAATTATCACCATTCAACGGAAACCAAAAACTTTTTTACTACTGTTTGCACTCCAATAGAACTATTGAGAAAGCATTCAGGTTTAACGTGTATCATACAACAAAATAAAACACCATGATCCGTTAACAACCTTGACTTAAAACTTTAACGGATGCAGCATACAAAGTATTAAAATAGTACTGCTTTCCGCTTCTGATATTCATCCAACCGTTTCTTGCCATATGTAAGATAATCAAACTCAATACTGGATGACTCCGCCTGCTGGAAGCTCCAGATAATCCAGAACAGATGCGCCACCAGGGCGAACCGGTTGACCGTCAAATACATTCGTTCCACTTCCTCCTCGCCCACCACATCCCCCTCCCGTCCGTGGGCATGATGCCAGCATTGCAGATAATATCGCAACCAGACCATCTGCACTTCCCGGCTGGGATACCGACTGTAATCCACATCATCCACGCCACACCATTCGTTGAAGTGATTGCCAATATCGTACGCTTGATAGTTGAGACCGGCGTACTCGAAGTCGATAAAGCGGATCTGGTCAGCGTCCTCGTCGTACAGGATGTTGCGGTAGAAAAGGTCATTGTGGCAGAAGACTTCCGGGGAGACGTTGCTCTCGTGGACGGTCAGCTCCGTCTGCAGGAAATTAATTTCGGCTTCGAAGTATTTGTGATTCGGGAAATCCAGCGAGCGAAATGTGTTTTCAGTGGTCGGATCGCTGAATGTTTTGGGAGATTGCCGCAGCATGGTGTGAAGTTTGTCGAAGAGGGAAGTGTGTGGATGGGATCCCTTATGGCGGTAAATGCAGTGCAAATGCACCTAAAAATAGCAAAGTGATGAATCATAAAGGAAATATAAAAAGCGAACTGATGACTCATAATTTAAAGTGATAATGATGATTCGTATAGGAACTTTAAAGCATATAGGAAATTTAAACCGAAAGAAAAGCGAGATTTAAAGTGCATGTGTTTGCATAAGTAATGTTATAGCACAACAGTTGTGTATCTTCATTAATAAGTATTGCGCAGGCGCACTAATCTTATTGTGGCAATATTTATATACATTGTGCATTTCCTTAATTTAATACCGCCACAGTAAAGTTAATACGTCGGTGCAATACTCATAAAAAATTTTTAATAATCTGTTAATAATAAAAAGTCTAAATAGGGTATCTGTTAATAGTAAGTGCGCTTTTGGCGTATTATGCATAGAACGCAACGACTCGAAATCAGCAAGTAAGAAAATGTACAACTTATTTGCTAATTTAGATCTGTTGCGCTAAGTGCATAATACAGTGCGCAACATTTCAAAAACACTTTTTTAAAACTAATTTTGAGTGCATTTGTTATTTCAATTTTTTTATTAAAAACATTTTGCTCGTATATTTGTTCGTTTACCATTTTCTCAATGACGAGCTTGCTGATGTGTGGATCGGCCGTCATTTCCTGCTCCAGCGCTTCCCCTTTGACATACTCATAACACATGCCATTTCCAAACACACCGTACACCTCTCCGCAGATCTTCCTTTCAGACAGGATCTGCAGCGTGCGCAGCTCGGCCTTGCGGTCAATGTTCTTCTCGGTGTCCTCTCCGTGGATTCGGATCAGAATTTTCTCCAGCGGATCCTCGTCAAAATATATCACCACGAGTTTATTCGTGTACCCACCCGTGACATCTTCGATTTTCAGTCGCTCACTTTCCAGTCGCTCAAACCAATCCGGGCGGAAATGCTGGAGAATGGTGCGTACCGATGCTTCCGGATCGTAGTGATCAAAGTCGAATGATGTGCGCGGAAGAGTGGCCATCTTCACTTCGTGAAGAGCCATTCTGTTACAGTGAAAAATATATTAGTGGTGTTGTAGATGTTTTCGGTTAATTTCGGTAGCACAAATAAGCACCATATGAGAGCTTAATCACATATACTGCAAACGCATGCGTTTTTGCGTGCATATTCTGTGTGACTGAAGCTATAGCGTGTGCAGCAGGATACTTGTCTGTGTAATAACTAATAACAAAAGACCGGTTTTTAAAAGGAAATTGTCACGGTAGTATGCCAAATCTTAGAAGAATAGCTTACTAATGTTTTACTCAGCCTTCGTTTAACAATCTTGTGATACTGTATTTGTAAGTACTAGTGCCGTACACGGCGTACAGACTGTACTCACTGCTTAGCGCAATCGCTGATGTTTCGCAGAAAATTTTCGCAATAAGAGATATTTTTGCACTTCGCAATGGAGTCTCGTATTCACACGTACCGCGGATGATGTGTTTTTGGTTTGTGTATAGTTGAGCAGACGGTTTTGTATGTAGCAGAAACAAGTTGTCAGTGAGAAGTGAGAACTTCTTAAAGGTACCGCGGATTAGAGCACTGCCGATAAAAGTAAAAAGCTAAACGCTTACAACCTTGAATGTACGGACTTTAGCCCTAATTTAAAAAAAAGATAGATATCGCTGCCGCTTAAGTAACCACTCGCATTAGAGAGACTGAGAATTCAGAGTTGAGATAAATATCTAATATTTGAAACTGCCGACAAGTGTAAACGTAATCTTCGGTTGAAATCACTAAAGCTTAAGAGATGCTATTGATTTTATCGACAACACCAAGTTCAGATGTACATACTATTATTATTTACAAAACAAACTTGTCTAGAAATACGTCAGAAGCATTAAAAACTCATGAATTATCAATACACAGTCAGCTAAAACTCTTGGAAAGGTCAATAACGAATAACATAAAAAAATCGTTGCGGGTATGTATAAACCTAAGACGTATATAGTTGTCTTTGTTATGCTGTCATGTCCTGAATTGTAGATTCGTATGCTGCTTTCATAGTCTGGTAGCAGTCCGATCCCGGAGTTCGTCGGCAGGCCGGTAAGGTGTTATTCCATGGCGCATAGTAGACGAACTGTCTTGGATCGAAGCAGAAGGGCTTCACCGCATTAGCGAGGGCTTCGTCAATCTTCCGCTTCTCGTTCGCACCCATGTCCTCTGGTTTTCGGCGTGTGTAGGTGTATAAAAAGGGATCAGCGCATATTCCGTCGTAGCCGTACTTATTACAAGAATGATAAAAGGCGTAAGCTCCATAATCCATTGCCAACACGATGGAGTTATCGATACCTTCGCGAAACAAAAAATGTTTATTCTACTGTACCATCAAGATTAGTGGGCATGAAATTGCTGCAAAAGTTTTTTACTAACCAGCTGGAAACGTTATCGATCCACTATCAAAATATGGACCAATCTGTCGTCCATCCACAGTAAAGTGGCAAACTTCTTGTAAGTTTTGGCAAGTGCCATTATCTCTGTCGATGTAATATTGCTCTTGAGTCATTACCGCGCACGGAATTTCGGTTGTTGGAAAGTAACATTTTCCCAGATTTGTGTAGTAATTGATTACATTTTGGGACAATTTATCCTGTGTGGCGTTTATATACCAAACGTTGTAGCCATACCAGACTCCCGCAATCTACAACACACACCCAAAAATTCAATTTCAATAACAAAAAAAAATGTGAAAGATATGGATAAATGACACAATCCAAAGATTTTGCCAGTTTTTAAAAGTTTTTATGTTTATTGTATTAATATTTTTGAAGTTCATATATATTTTTTTGTTTTATGTATATATCTTTATATATTGTTTTGCTGTCAACTTGCTTTTACCATAGGTACCATAGGACAAATGTTAACAAAGGGTCACACCTTAGCTGGATCGATGTACAGCCCGCGAGGTGCATTGGGGATTCCACATTTGTAATAAGGCTTGGGAGCACCGTACGGATAGTTGTCCAGGCCGACATATGAAGGGTTATAGTTGGTTTGGTTAGCGTATTTCGGCGGAGCATAGGCAGCGTACGGTTGGGGTCCATAGTTGACCGGTGGCTGATTGTAGACCGGCGCGGCTGGTTTGTAGTAACTGCTGTAAGGAGGTTGGTTGTACGAAGGTGCATAGGCCGGCTGCGGAGGTTGTGGAGCGGCATACTGCGCTGGTGCTGGAGCGTAGGCAGGAGCGTAAGCTGGGGCGGCGGGATAGGATGCGGGTTGGGAGTATGCAGGTTTCCCTTCATCCGCATAAAATCCGCTGTAAAGAACATCATATGTATACCGTCGCAACTCATTAACTCAACTGTGTCTGACTAGTTTTCAAAAAATTGTCTAATTTGTTAGGCACTCCATCTTCGCCGCGGTTACGCAATCGGTGGACATAGTTTGCTAACAAAAAATATTAGTATTCCCTACGTGGGTACAAGTGCTGGTGCATATATCACAGGCAGACATCACTGTATTGCACTAAAATAATAATTAATAATATTGTTTGCATGCCGGATTAAAAAATTTATACCTGGTATTGCGATGCAGTGCGTTCGGATAAGGTGACTGGTTTGGGTATGTACCACCGGGCTGGTAGTTTCCTTTTGGCGCACCATATGAGCTACCGGTAAGTAATAGAAAGAAACATTAAAATTAGGCATATTATGAGTTGACTTTTAAAACTTCACAGTTGAGAGTGGCCTCTTTTGGGTGAGATCACAACACATTTTAATTGTACAACAACAATTTTTCTTGTATTTCATCGTTCATGCATACTCGTACTTGTAGTTAATCCCTGGTGACTGGGCTGGATAACCGCCATACGGTTTGGCTTGATAATCTGTGGGCGGTGCAGGTGAATAATATGGCGGTTTCCCGTGATTTTGGACTTCGTTTTGAGCACACACATGTCCTACTGCCAATACCTACAGAATATTAAGATTACGGTATTTCCTTAATAACTGTTGCCTAATTATTTTAACGCAGTTTTCTCCCGCAAAACTATGAAAAGGAGGACTTACTGCAAACAGTGCGAAGCTCACAAACAGGGCTTTCCTTCGCGCGAACATCGTCTTTGCGAGTATTGTAATTATTTCTTAAACTAACTAAAAAACAATTTTCTGAGGTACAACAACACGGTATAAAGGAAGAAAAATACCCGCTAATTCTGTATGGTCGCTAATTGGGTAATTAGCTTGCGACCATAGTTGTGGGTGTTAAATTCACCAATAAACAAATGATAATGTCACTTTATTACAATCAGTGCAGCCCTTTTTGCTGCTTTCAAAGTTACCCTCGTAGAAAATAATTTTACGTAATCGTAACAGGCTTTGTTTGAAAAAAATTGTTGGCAGCTATTCTTGGAGAGTATTGCGACTTCCTAAATAAAAAACAATTGGTCATCGTTTTGGATTGTAAAATTTGATGAAAGCAGATGATAATATACTACTACGTCGACTATATTTTTTACCACGTGATTTAGTACAAAATGTGCATTACCAATAATGGTATTATTGGTACACCAAGTTTTGCAGTTTTGAAAATTGGTTTGCTTATATTTAAGTATAAATACAGCCCAAAACTTAATCTCCCGCCTTTTTTCTTTGCATCTTATCGTATTTTGTAGTTTCTGTTTCATCAACGACATGAAGTATGAAGTGCATGGGAATAAATGGTGGGGAATTTTTAGCTATATATGCAAGCAAAGGTGACAGGTCGAAGTGTAATTACATAAGTCTGCGTACAGCCAGTTAACTTCCTTATAAAAACTACTGCAGTATTCTAGATCTACAGTTGTGTCTGCATAGGGTAATCAAACATACTTCTACGGAATTAACAAGCAGAAGAGTAATATTTTCGAGAAACTGCTAACCGTTGTCAGTATTTCAGCCGTATTCACAAAACTCCATGAGATACTGTATCTGCGGCAAAAATACAGCCAGTTGACACTACCAGCTGGCATCATCTGCGCGCTACACCGTGCATACGCAGAAAAAATGTGTATCCAGACGATGCTTACATTTTGCAATAAAAAACTGCCCATAGCAAACTGTCAGTTAAAGATTCATTTGTGCTAATGTCGATTGTGGATGTGGATATTTTTTGTGGATATTTTCATAGTTTTGTAGCTGTTGGGTTCCGGTATTCGGGACATGTCGCTCAGGTATCCTCCCAGGGTGATTGGAATCGAAGCAGAACGGTTGCGCCGCATTGCATGATTCATCAAAAATTTGACCATTAATAGCGCTGTTACTTACAAAACGGCGAAACATAGTCTACCAATAAGTAACTAATTTGTGGATTTTATGCGATATTTTACTGATGTCTTTGTGTAGCTTCCACGATAATTATTTACAAAGTTCCCCTGTCGTAAAAATAAAGATTGTACAGGAATTAATGATCGAATTCGTATTGGAACACTGGAAAGATCAACAGCTGGATAAACCGGGACTTGCAATATAATTGTATTAGTTGTATAATGTATTGTCACTGCTGTGAGAAGATCCACTACTTGCACGGTTATGCGTAACTTCTTTACAGTCATCTTTTTCATGTTCTCATATCTTGAACTGTGGATTCGTAAGCTGCTTTCATAGTTTGCTAGCACTCCGGTCCAGGTGTTCGAGGGCATGCCGGTAGGTATTATTCCACGGACCGTAGTAGACGAACTGTCTGATCGAAGCAGAACGGCTTCACCGCATTAGCAATACCTTCATCAATACTTCGCTTCTCACCTCATGTCCTCTGGTTTACGGCGTGTATAAGAGTACAAAAGGGATCAGCGCATATTCCGTCGTAGCCGTACTTATTACACGAAAGGTAGAATGCGTAAGAATCATATTCCATCGCCAATACGATAGAGTTATCGATACCTTCGCGAAACAAAAAAATGAATATTATAACCCTAGTAGAAAAGGGGCATAGCGTTGTTGGGAATTTTGGTCGATACTAACCGGCCGGAAAAGTTGCTACTCCGCTGTCGAAGTACGGACCAATCTGTCGTCCATCCACGGTAAAGTGGCACACTTGTGCGTTGGCACGTGCCATTAAATCTGTCGATATAAGATTGTTCCTGGGTCATCACTACGCAAGGGATGTCGGTTGTGGGAAAGTAACACTTTCCAAGATTTGTGTAGTAATTGATAACATTTTTTGTCATCGGCATGTCCTTTGTGGCGTTTATAAACCAAATGCTGTAGCCATACCAGATTCCCGCAATCTGTAACAAACAACCAGCGATTCAATAACATAGCACAAACCTGGGAAAATGCGTAATCGACATAATGCATAAATAGCAATATCAGATTTTTCTGACAAAAAATTATGTTCTGTATGCCATCAACCAATAAATATCCATACCGAGCCAAAAGGTCATACCTTGGCTGGATCAATGTACAGTCCGCGAGGTGCATTAGGGATTCCACACTTGTAATACGGCTTGGCGGCACCGTACGGATACGTGTCCAAGCCAACAAATGAAGGGTTATATTTGGTCTGGTTAGCGTATTTCGTTGGAGCATACGGTTGAGGTCCATAGTTGACCGGTGACTGATTGTAGACCGGCGCGGGTGGTTTGGTATAACTGCTGTAGAAAGGTTGGTTGTAAGGCGGTGCATAGTACGGCTGCGTAGGTTGTTGGGGGGCAGCATACTGTGCTAGACCGTAGGCTGGGGCGGCGGGATAGGAAGCCTGTTGGGAATAATCAGGACGGCCTTCGCCCGGATAAACTCCGCTGTAATAGGTAAAAACAATACACCGTAAACCACTAATAATTATTAATAAGCTCTCTCGCAGTACTCGTAGCAGTTGTAAGCTGCAGTTGTTTTTGTCCAGTTTTGGAAAAATAAAAATTATTTATGTTTTTCAACTAGACGTTGTTTTGTAAATTAATGAACTTATTCGAGAACAAAATTTTAGATTCTTTACTCAAGCGGTTTATTCATATAGCGTGCTGCATATCAAAATACTATGATTATTAGTATTTACATGCTTGAATTATAGAAAATTCAACATGGTATAATGCTCTGAAGTGCATCCAGATAAGGCATGAATATGTACCACCGGGCCGATGATTTCCTTTTTGCGTTCCATATGGGTTAATTAACAATAAGTCAGAAGTAAACAGATAGATATTATGAAAATATAACATATTATGATTTATGAAATTATATATGATTATCACGTCTTATAAAACTCCAGTTAGAGGGTTATGTATTATTCAAAAATTTAATACAGTCTGCAACTGAATTTCGATACAATAATAACTTGTTGGCAGTATTAATTAGCACATACTTGTAGTTATTCACTGGTGGCTGGGCTGAATAGCCTCCGTATGGTTTGGCTTGATAATCTGTTGCCGGTGCAGGTGAATAATATGGCGGTTTTCCATAATTTTGGGCATCGTTTTGAGCACACACACTTCCTGGCGCCAATACCTAAAAATAGTGAAACGTGTAACAACATTTCGCCGATAAATGCTGTTTAATTACAGAACTTTTATACAACTTTCTCGTTCCAGAAATGGTGGTTATACATTAGCGAAATACTAGACAGTGCAGACAAGGGTTGTCCATAATTATTTAAACTTTTCAGGTTAAAGCAAAAATGGAACAGCATGACGTGAATAAGTTTGGTTGATACATTAAATTCATATTTCATATACTGTGTCTGTAAGTACGACTGTAGAAGACTTACGGCAAATAAAGCGAAACTCAGTACTTTGCTAAATTTAGCCAACATCATCTTCGCGAGCACTATAATTTAACTGTTGGTGGGAAGAGATTTTCCGAGATATACCTATGCAATCTAAAAGAAGAAATTAACCGCTAATTTTATGTGGGCGCTACCCGGGTACTTAATTAGCCTGCCACCACAGTTTGTTGGTGTTACTTTTCCCAAATAAACTATTTGTGGAGTTGCATACTGCAGTCACTGCATCCGTTTCGCGGTATTCTCGAAGTCACGCTGATCATGAGGGAAAAAAATTTACGTAATCGAAACGAATCCAGTTTGGAAAAAAAATTGTTGGCAACTATTGTTGGCGAGTATGTATCGGGACTTTTTTAACAGGGCAATTGAACATCATTCCGAATAATACAATTTGATTAAGGTAAGAAAGTTATGCAGAACAAAATGTAACAGCATATACGAGTATAACAGCATCTGTAAATATAACAGCATCTGATAAGCTTTGCACATCAAAACTGTACATATGCATAATGTATTGTATGAGTCGCGGTTTCTTCCGCTAATTCTGCAGAATAATACGCTGGAGTTTTCCTTTGAACCCAGACATAGATATGTTCGCGTTTGTTTGACTATTTAACTGCATAACATTTCGGAAACTTTTCGTGTTTTGTAAAGACTAAATGTTGATAATTTAGTACCAGTATAGAGTAACCTATTTTGCAATTAGAAAAATAAAATAGACAATCGGCGCATTGTAACCGAACAGACTCGATAGTGCTAGAAATAAAACAAAAACTTTATAGCAAGATAATGAAAACAGTTATTAAATGTCATTTAGTCTTGGCTTACCTGCGCTGCCATGTCAAGAAGAATGTTTTACGTAGTTATTACTGCTATTAAAATACCTGAAATTAACAGATCACTGGGAATTAGCGATTCTCCAAGTAAAAGTTTAATGACTCCCAGGTTCCACTATGTTAGCGGTGTTTCTAGAACGATACGAATTAATATGTATCTGCGGCAAAATACGTCGACATGACTTTAACAGCTCACAATAAAATTTTTCATTGCCCGTGCGTAAACATAGTGAGAATCGCGTTTCCCGTACGTACTCGTATTTCCCAAAACTTGAAAAAAAAATTAAAATTATCGGCTAAGTATTCAGTGTGCTAATCTCAATTGTGGATGCGTACGCCGCTTTCATAGTTTGGTAGCAGTCGGATCCCGGCGTTCGTGGGCACGCCGCCAAGGTGTCATTCCATGGTCCATAGTAAATGAACTGTCGGGGATCGAAGCAGAACGGCTTGACCGCATTACTAACGGCTTCGTCGATTCTCCGCTTTTCTTCGGCGCTGATCTGATTGGGTTTACGGCGGGTGTAGGTGTACAAGTAGGGGTCAGCGCACAGTCTGGAACGGGAACTGTATTTGCTGCAGGAATGGTAGACAGCGTAGGATTCGTAATCCATAGCCAGTACGATGGAATTATCCAAACCTGGAGGTCAAAGACACAACTTCATATACTTACTGTATACTTTGCTGACAAAGCGATTAAAAACGGATACTGCAGTCGCTTGCACTAATCTATATATATACTGACCGGCAGGAATTGCAAGGCCGGCTGCGCGCCTATCGAAATACGGACCAGTCTGTCGTCCGTCCTCGGTGAAGTGGGATACTTCGTGGAATCCTTGGCATGTTCCACTGATTCTATCGGTGTACGTCTGCTCCTGAGTCATGACCACACAGGGGATATCTGTTGTAGGGAAGTGACATGTAGCCAGATTTGTGTAGTAATTAATGACGTTCAGATGATCCTTCGATTGTGGCACATCCTGGGTAGCGTTTATAAACCAAGAGTTATACCCGTACCAAATTCCCGCGATCTAAAAGCCATCACAGTTATTGTATATTACAGCACGAATGCTTTAAGGGAAAGGTCACGTTGTCTGACATTAATTTCTCACTGTCGTAATATGTATAACATAATTGTTCTAAAAGTTCAAACTTAACTACCTTGAAGGGATCAACTCGCAGTCCGCGAACTGCATTGGGAAATCCGCACTGATCATAAGGCCTGTTTGTACCGTACGGAGAAGTGTCCAGACCAACGGACGCCGGATAAGGGACTGCGTAATTTGGCGGTGCATACGGTTGTGGCCCATGATTGACCGGTGGCTGATTGTAAACCGGCGAGGCTGGTTTGGAATAGTTGTTGTATGAAGGTTGGTTATAGGGAGGTGCGTTGTACGGCGGAAAAGCAGGATAGCTCATCGGTGGTGAAGGACCGGGATAGGAAGCGTCTTGGGTATAACCATACTTGCTGTCGTCACAATAAAATTGATGAGTTTTTCTCAGGAATCTTTGTCCCGGAAGCTGGCTTATATGTATGCATGAACTTACAGTGGACAGAGGACTTTACCCAGTATCGCATCATAAAGCATTCACTGCTTTCATTTATATATCGCTTATTAATTAGTTTAGAAGCTGGACCATATACCTTCCATACTGGCTCGCTGGGATAATCCTTGGACGGAAATGGATTATTGTAATACGGGGTTGTGGATAATTTCGACCGTCAGTTTGAGCTTTCACGTTTCTGACCACTGCCACCTAGAATTGTATTAATCTAGGTATAAATAGCGCGAGTGTACTTGTAACGTGTAACTGGTGAAGTCTACGATCATTCATATAATAAAACACTAGTACTTCTTTTCTGCGTTTTTTTGTCTAGATAGAATCACGCCGTTCGTTTTCACTTAATGCGCATAAACATTTGTTCATAAGCTGCGGTAATTTTTCGGTGGATTGGAAGTCAAATAGTGGTATTATTTAATTACTTAATATCTAACAACATGGTCAGTTTTATCATCTTTTAGACTGCATACGACCGACCATCTACTCTAGAGTAAGTATACGTGCTTCGCATACAAGCGCTTCCACATGAGTGTGATTTCCTACCATAAAAAATACGGAGCAAATGGTGTTGATATGGCCGAACATCCCTCGAAAATATTTTCAGGTAATACAGTAAATAATATTCTCCGGCGTATCTAACATGTAAATTGATGCCCTCAAAACCAACAAACAAGTAAATACCGTTCTATAACCAAAAACAGATTTTGGTTTCTCCACGCACAGTAGGAAAATCTGTCATTATCGTAATCAAGACAACTCTAGGTTATGCTAGCAGTGTTTCATGCAAAAAATCTTTACGTAACCAAATAAAATGTTTCACTATGTTTTTAAAAAATGCCTGGCAGCTGTTGCATCGGATGAAACGGTCTTTTGCCGACACTGGTCGCCACTCTACAGATCCACAAATTGATTGTACACCATGTTAAAACATACACAGTTCTAAAATTTTAGTTTAACCGTACTTGTTACTTTCAAAGCGAAACGGTTGAAAATAAAATTATCCCACCATTATCCGCTTAAAGTAAGAATGATATCTTTGGCTGCAAAGGTACGAGTAAGAACTAATAAGAAGGATACCTTTGCAGATGCTTCTTAGCAGAAACAAAAAAAGTGTATCGTATGAATGTGTATCAGTCAGTGTATGTAATGATATGTATTGCATATTTCCGACGCCTTCCTTCACCAAGCATACTGATCTTTGGTCAAAAACAATGTACAGACACGGAATTTATAACGGTTACTGTGGTAATACCGTATACAACGTTATTCTTTTTGTGCATATGTAGAAAAAGACTTCGTAGATGCTTTATTGCTAAAACTGTATTTAGAAACATGGGAATAAAAATATTAATTTTTTTATAATAAAACGTAACCAAAGCATGCAGAGAGACTCAACAAGTTCATGGAGATTAACTGACAGCACAAACGGGAAGGAAAGCATCAGCGCCATCACAAAGTTCGCAATCGAAAACAATATTGATTGCCGTACACGGCATCTTTGGCGATTTCTTTTATTGGTCACACAATTTCACGGCACGGCACACACCCTCGATCGAGAAGCTGTGCGGCGATCTGCAGAACGTAAGGCACGTAAGTCATCACGGCGGTTTCACACTCGGTTCTGGCTTCCTCCGGAAAAGACGCAGTACGACTTGATGAGATTCGACAGACGCACGTTCTCGTCGTAATCTTCCAGCATCACCTTAATAACCTGCAAATTCAATCCGCATTTGAATGTCACACGTTTTACTTTATAAATAGCAACGTGCAACTGCATATCGTTTAACAGCAATATGTAAAACAATGGGCAATCAGATATGCAATTTAAGTCAGTGACTGAGGATTAAAACCCCAAAACCTCTTGCAATGCACCAGATTCCATCATTTTGTGCTACCGTTATCCAGTAATTTACATCAACTTCATTCTTACAAACCTTAAACACTTCCGTGCAAGATGTGCACGTCGCCGCGCCGCAAACTTCCGGTTTCTTGCTCTTGCACAGTCCCAGTCCGGCGCACACCGTAGCGGGATCCAGTTCGTTGCCGAGGATGACCAGAATAGCCGGACCATACTGATCAATAAATCCGACACAATCGTCCCGCACCGATTTGGGCATCACAGTGCACACACGTTCTAAGGCGGATTGGATGGCGGCTTCCGTGTAATTGTCTTCCAGCATGCGGTCCAAATACGACATCACAAACTCACAGACAACGCATTCCACATCGTTTTTATAGGCCACCTTTTTCGGAGGGGGCGGTGATGATGAGCTAGCACGGACTGCGGGAAGGGAATTCAGGTTGAGAAGCATGCGGCTCAATGGCAGCTGAATCTGTAAGAAAACTTGAATGAACTAACTATAACTTCAATGTGCATTAAGATTTCAACTTCATGAATTCTACAATCTACAGTCAAACTGTTAAACAACACGACTATTTCTGCAGCTAAAGCCAAGATGAAAACAGCAACATGCTCACGACGATCAACCGTCGATTATTTCCGGACATAAACAGATCAGCGCATGTCGGTCATTGTACTGTATTTGCTAAAAGTAAACCCATCAGCTGATCCGCAAGTGCGAAGAAAGCACGATCATCATAATCGCGCTCTCGCCGAAGTTCGGAAGTTGTAAGCAACCAGCGCAACAAATCTAACCAGCCATTCACCAGAATGCTTTCGAAAATTACATATATGCAGTCTAATTAAAAAATCTGGGTAACGAAGTAAACGAACATCATACGAATGATACCGTTATATTCACTAAAACATTCCCATGCTGTTTTAAACGAGAACATTTTGCACGAGAAACCCGTGAGTTTTCCTGCACGATGAACCGCAGTCGTTAAAGCTGAGCAATTGAACGGAAATTACTATTTACAAAATATTTAATCAAACATTCCAATCATCCATGCCACGTCCGCATGTCATTTCAATTTTACCACGCTTACCGGTGTAAAGTCCATCTTCTTGGTAGTCTTGCGTTGCGCGTAGGGCACCAACGGCAACCACCACTTGGCTTTTGCCGCTCTGCATTCCCGTGCAGAAATTCAACTGCGAGCACACCTCCTCCGGATCAAAGAACATCTGCAGCCGGGCATAGATCTGCGGCCAGTACTGCTCAATGACCGTTTTGCACAGTTCCGTCAGAGCCGGATAGCCCGCCTGATCGCACTGGTCCAGCAGCATCTGCTTGAACTCATCCTCCGTATAATTGCCAATGTAGATCTCCTTGGCATCCTCGAAGAAATTGTAACAATCTGCGCAATAGTTGCGATTCGATGCAGCAGGAGCGGGAATGGGGAGATTGGTAGGAGGCTGTGCGGGAGGCTGTTCTGCTGGGAGAGAGCAGAAGTTGATGGTTTTGCAGATGGTCCGGTCGGGCACGTTGGCCGACAGCATCTGACGGATTTCTGGAAGATCCGTTGTCATATCCGCCAAGCAGTCAGCACGACGGCTCTTTTTCGGAATGCGTCTATTAATAAATATACCGCACAAAATTAAAAAAAATCTGCCACAAAAATCAGGCAAACACCAAAAAAGCACTTCAAAAAACTGTTAGCAACTTTGAAACAAGCCATTTATATTTAAGCTTAAGAAAATGTAAGTCCTTGTACGCAAAATCCTGCTAAACCTAAATGTTGAAAATGCCTAAAATTTATTAAAATAAGCTAGCTATACGAAAAGTACTAAAAGTACCTAAAAGTTATGACTAAAATTTAAACTAAATATTATGGAATTCATGTACTATTTAGCGATCGAGCTCAATACTCGTACTTACTTGCAGCCATCTCTCAGGTACCCGTGCATGCCGCTTTCCGAGGTGTTCACGGCCACCAGATCACGAATATCGTCCATGAGATCATCGCACCAGCGGCAAAGAATGGAGTCATCCGAAGGCTCGGCTTGCTTTCCCCACACGGACTGCACGCAGTGCGTAACAGCTGAGCACTGCTTGGCATTTGCAACTTTATCGCACCTAAAAACCAAAATAATTAATAACAATCTTTAATTATTCTGCATTGCACAATAACTGTGCTCAGTTTCTTACGGAGTCTACCAGTGTCTACGGTACATTAGGAGCACAACTGACTCTTAGTTATTAATTTATAGTGACTTTATGCCTAGCAAATCATATAAAATGCATAAAAATTAACCTTCTCTACAGAAATATAAGTCTATTTTTGAACTAGTAATTACCAGAAGGAAGGACCCCATGTGCATTTGTTGGAGCCAACTAGACGTTCCTGGGCTCGATGAGCGCCTGTCATAGAGGATACTGCATGTTGGTCTGCCACGCACACCGATATCAAAATCGGAAATAGTAGTACAAAAGAGTTCATCCTTATAAGGTAAGATCAAACATCCAAGTTGCTAAAACATATATTCACAATTAGTCAATTACAGAATTTAAAAAAATAAAGTGGTTTCGTTTCTCAAACAATAAGAGCCAAACAGCAACCCAAGGACAAGCTGCAGCAAACGCAAACAGAAATTTCCTTCTGTCGTACTGTAGCTCAGTAGCTGGTAGGCACGAGACATAATCTTTGTGGCAAGCCGAACTGCACACCGGGCTGTGTTTGGTGAGCCACATGGATAACAAATGCCACAAGGATAACCATTAACCAGTTGTCCAGTTATGGCCGGCGAGGAACTCATAACTGGCGCCGGAAATCAACCAAATTTGTTCAAAATTTGCAGTTTGCACAATACTCTGGTTTAAGTTTTCAGATTATAATATATCTTGCAGCCTGTACAAGTGTAGGCAGTGGGCACATCTGGAAAAACATGGTGAGGCTTATCACGTGTGAAGATTGTTTCTTAATTAATAATTTTTAGAAGCAGTTAGCACAGAAAATTCTCGTTACCATATAAACTGAAGGGAAACACGTGCGGTGGCAAAAATTTTAATTCGTATGTCTACGACCATACCACGTAGAAAACTCCCGATCCCGTTCGATCTCGGAAGATAACCTACGTCGGGCCCGGTTAGTACTTGGATGGGTGACCGCTTGGGAACACCGGGTGTTGTAGACTTTTTTAATTTATTCTGGGCCTTTTTATTTTTAACATTAGAAACGATTGAATGATTGTACACAGGTGCTGTATTTTTCTTTGCTACAAGTATTAAAGCTAATAGTGTTAGAACTACATAATTATACTGCGGCAAAACCTGATGTTTGTGTGCTTGTATGTATCGTCAATGCACTGTTCCTTTAACGTGCGCATATTTGCAGGCAAACAAAAATGGTTTAATTCCTACATAAAACATGTACGACTGCTACAAAAGTGTTTCATAAAACACAAAACATAAGAGGAACTTATAATGCTAACTGCGCTATTTCGTTAATTGCAAACAAAACATGTAAAATTAATTAAAATACACTAAAAACAACTGACAAGCACTTACGAGTCTATCAAACCGCGAATACTATAAATTTTAATAATTAGGGAAAATTTACGTGGGAAAATTCTAAAAAAGCCTGCAACCAAAAACAGGCGTTACTTACATCATTATACTGTAGTGCTCGTACTATTAATAACGGTACAATGAATTCCGCACCAGAAAAAAAGTAATTGGGCGGTATCGTTCTGATCCTCTCGCGCAGTCACTTGTGTCTGCCCTTTCTGACCTTTATGTCCGTTCGCACTCCTTGAACTGCTTATTACTCCCGAAACATTTTTTGACGTTGAACTTGCGCATCATTGCGTGCGGTAATATGGAAGCAGGTAACACATAGTATAGTACAGCTCCTTAAGAATAACAGCACTGTCACTACTTTGTAATTTCACCCTTTAAAGTATTCCGTAATCTTTATGCATTTCTGCAAAAACAAAGCAGTAGCTGCATATCTGCCCATTATATGCAAGGTTGGTGTGCATTTTTTTCCACAACATTTCTCCTTTATAAAGAATTCAAGGGCCTTTGCAGTTTAAAAGTAAGTACACAACTTACAAGTAGTTAAACTATTTCATTAGAACTTACAAAACGAACTCTTAAGTGGTTTAAACACTTTCGTTTACGGTTCATCTTGAGAGCAACGAAAAGTGGTTAATTGAAATTAATGGTTTTTTTTAAAAAATGAATATGTTTCCTTGAAAAAAACGGTCTTCTTATGCGCTCTTTATTTGACAACTCGATCCGCACTTGGTGGATGGCTTGCTGGGCCTGCTGGCAGCCTGGCACCAAGGCAGGTTACATCTGTAACCAGCGGCTGCAAATTTCTAAACCGAGCCACTCAATGGGAAGCGGAAAGCGGCACCGGATACGCCAAGCATTCCACCAATGGATGCGCACTTTACATTCATCCGGCACGTCGATCGCCGGATACCATTAAGAAAGAAAAAACCTACTTAAAGCGTGTAAACTCCACAAGCATATTATCTATCAACACATTGAGGTGAAGAATCTCACTCCATGATACACTTTTCATGATGCCAGCCGGCATCTTCTGATCCACAACGCGTACACACTCGCGTCTATGACGCTATGCGGTGTCAGTTTTTTTGGGGTCAACAGCTGACAGCGGATCCGCTTGGACATTAGGCAAATTAGCCGGTTAGTTGAGTGATATCCCCCGATTTGCAACAAAAAAACACCGCCCCAATCGGTTGTCTAATTATGGCCGCTGGTGTTTTGCTTTTGAACATGAAACAAATAGGCCAATATAACTTCTTCCATGTCACAACTCAATCGGGAATTGTTTCATAACGCGCCAACTGTCGGAATTGTGGTTACGATTGTGTCTATGACTGCAGTGTAAAATTCTCTGGCTACTGTTCATTATGCCGGGCGGAGCGGATAGTGAAGAGGAGACGGACAATGAAAAGGACACCGGATGGACGGTGAAGAACTGCTGCCGGAAGACCATCGCCTTCTTGTTTTCCCATATTGGCCTGACCGCACTGGTTGTGGGATACTCCATTATGGGGGCGTTTCTCTTCCGGCATTTGGAATTCCAACACGAGGTGGACAAGATGGGGACCATTCGGGAATGGAAGAACGACACGGTGGAGGCACTATGGAACATCACGACCGATGTCCACATGCACGAGCTATTCCAGGTACCAAGTGTAAAGGATTATCCTAACGACCTTTACTGAAAGTCAGAATCTAATAATGAGCATACTAAATATGAATTAAACGATCTTGTTTTTGCTCTTTGAAGCAAAATATAAAACTGCAATATTGTTTAGTCTTGTAGGAAATACGTAATGATCGATGTATGGTATGGTAGCGTTATTTGTAGCGGATACTTGATTGATCACACTTGCAGGACGTGTTATAATTATGGCCGTCACTGTCGGTTCAGGCAGTAATCAAGTCAGTAGTACTTTGTGTAGCCTGTAATGTGTGCATTACATCGAGTTTCACAGTAGTTAAGCACACTGAAATGGCATACTCGCCTGTAATATGCAAGTGTTTTTTAAGTTGATTATTTTTATAAAATAAATGGTAAGTCAGTTTACTTCGGTTAAGTACTCGTATTCAAAGTAAAGATCCATTGAATATGCTCAGTCGGCACAGATGTGTTAAACTTAAGCACCATAATATAAGCTCATCTGTACGAATATTTTGTCACTAAGAATATATTTATTTACTAAAAATATTGATAATTTTCCGCGAGGATGGTCGCGGAGAAAAATTCATACACTATCAACAATGTACTGGATGTCGAAACGGGCCCCCGAAAAATCTTGCCTATTTCTAATTGTTTAGTACGAACAACATTTTTATGTCTTAATTAATTACCTAAGTGTTCTCGGCTTGACCATTTCGGCATTAAAACTGGAAGCCTATAATACTGATTTTTACTTTTACATCTTCCTTTTTATTTCAGTATCTGAGCATCGAATGAAACAATCTTCTAAATACTTTAATATGATACATTATACACATGTAACGTTATAAGACTGCAATTTTACTATGTTCCGAATAGGCGCCAGTTATCCTTCTGGTCTATTTTGAAACTTCATTATGTTATCTTGGAAAATACGCATATTCTTGCATAATGTTGGAATTGGCCTTGGTCTTTGCAGTCTAGTCGCCGGCGATCATCGAACCGCCGGTAAATATCGGTGCAACCTTAAGAAACCTAAATATTTGTGGAGCAATTGATCACATTCAGCCTGTTTACCCTGTCGCTGTTCATCATCTTCCTTTCGGCATAAGAAGACACATTTGCGCCGCAATAAAAATTTCTCTTTCCCCATAAAAAATAATGATACACCATATGGCCCAATCTGTGCACTTCCGACTTTTTCCTACGTTGTCAGATCAGAAAGTAAATGTCGAAAGTTTGGTACGCCTCATAAATCGCACATCAGGAATGAAAGCGGCACTAGTCTGGAACAGACCGGAAAGGAAAACGGACGGACCCGGCGACTGTCAATCTGAGTTGGAAATTAATGACCCCATCCGGTCGACACAGTGTCTAGCAGCAATTCGAACTAAATCAGTTCGGCTTGTTTTCCTAATCGATCGCCCACGTTAGCCCAGATATAATTTAATTAGTGCTGGCATTCCAACGCGCGCTGCCCAATGCCGGTGTCACTTTTGTCCCCAATCGAAGCGTTCCGGAATCGAATACTTTACACTTGAGCAATGCAATCATCATAATTTGAGAACGTGTCGGAGCATTCTTTACGGTGTCTACGAATGCCTTATATTTGTATTTAGACAGTAACTGATATTTGGTCGCCAGATCAAAAAACAGCTGTTAAGTTGATCTAGAACATTATCCATCTACTTGCATCGTTACCAATTAATTCGCTTCCAACACATATACATAGCGACAGCGATAATAAACCAGGTCATTCGGGAAAGAAACGCGATTTTAAGATTTAAACCTAAAGTGGCAACAACTACAACAGTCGTCTTTCGCAATTTAGTATATCTGTCATACATTCGCATCGTTCTTTAATTGAATTGCTATTAAAAGACTACGCAACATCAAGCGAAACTGTGTTATTATTTATTAATAAACCATTGAGAATGCCGGTTGCGTCATATGGTGCGGGTTTTGTGGACCGCTTTTTTGCGATTGACAATAATATGAAAGACATGTGGAGGAGTCCATTGACCTTTCTCTCATTAGAGCTTGAAAGTACTGATCATAGAAAGTTTGCAATTAAGACAGCTCTAGGCTTACGCGTAAACAAATAAACATTTCACTTTTACTGCGATAAAAAGTGTACTAATATTTTGAATAATACGATACTTGTACATCTTGATCTATGAAATCATGCCGACCATAAACCAAGCATAAACTTATCAGGTAGGAATTATACGTACAGTACTCTTACTGCTCCTGGTGTATTACCAAACTCAGAATACTCTGTATATTGTAACTTTTACTCGCATCTAATTCGAATAATTGGCTCTACAGAATAACTGCACATCCACCTGTTCTGTCCAGTCAAATGAGACAATGACCAAATTCCAAAAGAAGCCAAGGACCAGCATATTATGCAGGCGGAAGCAGCTAAAACGGCTCTGGTTGAAAATCTATGGACCTTAACGATGGACTTAAATGTTCTTTGGAAAGTATGTAGGCACTCCAAATTTTTTAAAATATATGCATGCTGCCATGCACTTATGAAGAAGACTGCAAACCACATGTTGATATATGCTGCCGCAAACGTAAACGCTTGTGAATGAACGTCTGTCACGTCGCAGTAATTGCAGGAAAACTGGACACAAACCGCTGAAAAGGAAATCAGCAATCTGATCCGTCAATTACGTTTATGGAACGAAGAAGCCGAAATGCGCTGGTACAAACCAGCCGTAAATGCTCCACTGTCTGCATTCCTACCCTGATGGTTAAAAATCAGACAAAGGTCAGTCGCATGTACTTACGCCTACTGTAAATATTATTGAGGATAAAACCGCCGGCTGCTCATGCTGCATGTATTGCTGTTCTGCATATTCAGAGCAACTGGACGACATTAGCCATGGACCGCATTGAAGAATTCCAAAACAATATCAGTGACGCCGCACAACAAGGTTTCGAGACCAAGAAATCCAATCCCAAATGGACATTCTCCAGCTCCTTCTTATATGCTCTCTCCGTAATAACAACGATCGGTTAGTATTTACATTTCGGCACAACATATAAATAAAGAAAAACTGCTGATAAGTAATCACGATGCCGCTGCAACACACGTGCTGTGCTTGCAGGTTATGGGCATGTTACGCCCAAGACACAAGCCGGCAAAGTGGTGACGGTGCTCTACGCTGTAGTAGGAATTCCTATAATGCTGATGTTCTTGTCCAATATCGGGAATTTACTAGCCAAAGTCTTCATTGGGTTGTTCTCCTACATGTGCCGATGCCGTTTCTTAAATCCACCGGATCCAGTACTGTTGCGTCACCGAAAGTTGAGGGCAAGTGGTTTCTCCCGCCATCGGTCTGCTAAAGGTCAGCTGCAGCCAAAGCCAACGATTTCTCATCAGCGATTCTTTCCACCTGATGAATCGTCTAATGTTACTCCTGGCGACGAGGTATTCGTTCTTTAAGCAAATGTTTCTGACGCAAAACATTTTAGCAGTTAAACCGAAAGTACGAGTACGTACCTGATCAAAAAATATGATGCCGAAACACTCACATGTGCATTTATACTCGTATTAACGAAACCCTAAAGCACAGGTACCTCTAAAAGAAACCCTTAACTGAAATGTTTTTATTTAATAATATGTATTTGAGCTTAATTCAGTTTAACTGTAGTTAATATTCGCTTACGTGTAAGAAACTCCTTTGATGATTTCAAGCATCACTGGCATGACAGAACTGAAAAAAAGTAGCCAACAATCATATTCACGTAACGTATTTTGAGATTCAAAAAAATCATATATACCATATTTCTAGACGGCTGCACCAGCTATTCCGGCATGGGAACCGGAAGTGGCCGCCTTAGTGGAGCGCTTGGAGCGTAAAGACAACAACGTTCCGGTGATTGGTTGTTTGGTCATCATGAGTGCATACCTATTCGGCGGCGCCACTTTATTCGCTCTGTGGGAAGATTGGCCCTACCTAGATGCATTCTACTTCTGCTTCGTCACTCTGACGACCATCGGCTTTGGAGACTTTGTGCCCGGCGCGTCCATGCTCTCGGCTGACACATCAAATCAAAAGCTGGTAATGTGTTGCATATACGTGCTGGTCGGCTTGGCGCTGATTGCCTGCTGTTTCAACCTGATGCACAATCAAGTTCGCAGCTACCTAAAGGCGATAGCAAAGGTCATGGGAATCATTCGAGACAAGACCATCAACATTGGAAGTGCGAGAGGGATCCGGTCAAAAAGCGGCAAAGGAAACTCAAAGAAAACCGTTAAAAATATCACAACAGTTTCCTTGGCTGACGTGTAAATAATTCTGCATTTGAATTGTGTAATATAATAAGTACTGTACATTTGTTTCGGTCATTGCCGTGGTCAAGTGATCGTGTTGCGATGGTGTGCCATTGAGTACTACTGTAGTACACAATATCCGTTGTAACGTCTTGCCTGAAATCTGTAAATATCCCATGATTCTCTTGTTATTCGTACGTGTTTGACCATAATATTTGTTCGATAGCTGCAAAAGTACTGTAGTAGAATTGCGAATAACTCACAATAAACTGGAATACGGGCTCTTCAAATCATGGGATAAGGCCATATGCATTCATACATGCAGTTAGCATAATAACGACACGTGTACATGTACAGCGTAGTGAGAATACCTAGTTATTCCGGGAGAGATTTCGGAGAGATTTCACGAAATAGCCCAACCTAGATTCCTGCAGAAATACAAAGTAAATTAATTGTAAGCTCACAATCTGAATGCGTACTTAACGTTTACCTTTGTGGACCGGGTCCGCTGTAAAGTCTAAACCATGAGTAGTCTTTTATTTGAATCGCTGCCAAACTATTTGGAACCGCTGAGCTTTCGTTTCGCTTTCTCCTGTGGAAGCTGTTTTTGTTCGGTAGTGCGTATTCATATGCATATGGTGGTCAACTGATGGGCAAGAACTTGGTTTTTTTTCGCTTTGTACTCCGGCCGTAAAACTCGCATTCGGTGACGGCCATCCCTCATCGCTGCAGATTGTTGGCTTTTTTCGGGTAGCATATATCCAGCAAAGGTTAACACAACAAACAACCCGGTGAAAGCTTATGGGATAGCAACCATGGGCTGCTCAGTTCGTATCGTTTAGCAGGTTTGCCTACACATTCAAACCGTATAATAAATTCCCCCGTAAAAAGCAGGGAGAAACCCGGTCAGTGCTGTGTGATACTGGCTTCGTGGTTTTTTTGTTTATGCTATAACAATGGAAAATAAGCAAGCCTAAATACTGTAATGATCAAAGGCTTGAAGGAAATAATCGGAAAAACGCGGATTGTTAGCTAGTTTTGCTAACAATTAATAGGTATAGAAAAAGTCGCATCGTAGGATGCTACGGTGCAACATAATAATTTAACATCCTACTAGAAGGAATGTGCATGATTATATTCAAAAAACTATCAAACGCAGAGCGCAGTCACAACGTCGTTTCTGTACTGTACTTCCGCTGAAGTTCTTTCATAGACACAGAATACTTCGTCTTGTGCGGGTTACTTTGTGTTTATCCATTTGCTTCCGTTTGCGCGTCTTCGGATTCAGCTTATTGCCGAAGCACTATTACTATTGCATAATTATTGTAGGCGGAACAACTAAACATAACAAATATACAGAAAAGGTTGATATCTGGAAGGTGTAAACTGCACCCTGCATTTTACCATCCTAGTGAACGTATCTGTACGCGTAGCAGCTGGCAGCATGAAATCCAGCTGCGAGCTTAGAACTGGCTAGTTTTTTACTTGTTTAATTTTATTCTAGTGTTTTTCGGCGTAAACATTCACTTTGCTAAGTGGTACCAATAGCGAGTGGATTTTAGACATATTTATAAAAATTTTTTGTGCGTACATTATGTATCTGCACACCACAAAAACTTTAACAATAAGCACTTTACTGTGGCACTGCTGATACATGGTACGTATTTTTCTCCGCGTACTAAAGTTGTTAAGCGAAACGGCAAATATTTTCCCTACAGTGTGCTTTATTGATTTTTACCGAAATATACCCTCTATGGATTATGGGTTTGAATGGGTGCACAAAGGTATGATCAAACCTTACCCAGCAAGGTTCCCACTCCATCCGTCGGATATTTTCGTGCACAACAACTCTCTGATATGCACAGTGAGCGAAAGTGCGCGCCTGCATCCAATCAGCCCAGCTCATGCACAATAACCAACATAAACACAGTGTGCCTCGGCTTCCCAACCGGCAATTTTTCTCATCATTGCTTCCCCATACTGACACGCCTGGCAGTTAAGTTTCTTCCTTTCTCCCTGCGCCCGGCTTTCCCTTCTTTCATTCCAGCGTACACAGCACATAACAGACACACAAGCATATACACGGTAAAGTGTAAACAGCACTCCAGTAGTCAACTTTGTAGCATCTTGTCCCGCGTCAGCCCAGCCGAGTCGGTTGTTGCCAATCAAACATGACTTAACGCTCAATCCACTGTACACTTGTACTGGCGCATTAAAGGATTCGCTATCAAGCCATCTCGTGGCCCCTTTGTCTATGTGAATTGCAAACCAACAGAAAACCGTTATTTCATGGATTTTGTTGTTAACTGCAAGCGGACGCTTATATAAATTTGCCAGCAAGTGATACATATAAACCTTGCAGTTTAAATCCAACAACAATGGCCGCTGACCACGCCCCGCACGTCCTCACCCCGCTCCGCCACAAATCGGACCGTGAGGAGTTGCGGCCCCACAACGGCCGCAACAGCGACGATAATGTCCCGCGACGGGGATCCATCCGGGTGTTGCTATCGCAGACTAGCAAAGCCCTCGGACTGCCCTTCAACGAAACGGACACACCCGATCCGCTGCCGCCCACCCGTAACAAAGCCTTTCAATTCCAACGTCAGGGCACCAACTCCTCGCTGGACGTACCGCGGAGCCCCCACTCCATTGCCGGCAGTCTCGATGACGCGACCAAAGGGTCAAGTCTGCAGCGATGCTGTAAGAAGTATATTTCCCGTTTAATTGCCCATTTTATACTGATTATGGTCATGGGGGCGTACATTCTCATGGGGACACTCCTGTATGTGTATATTATCGGGCCGGAGGAGGAGCAGTTCGAGAAGGACCGGCTGACCACACCCTTTGTTATTGATGATGTGATGAATTATCTAAAAGTTCATGTACTGGCCTATTCTAATGTCACGGAGCGGAATGTGGATAATTTTCAGAATTTTTTTGTATTATCGTATCCAGCAGGCCGGAGTGTATGAGAATAAGCGGGATTTTTCGGCCGTATCCGGTATTTTGCATTCGGTGTCCGTTATTAGTGGAATCGGTGAGTGACAATGTGTGCTGCTGGTGCCAGACTAGCAGGAGAAAAAGGCGAGCACGAAATGACTTAATCCGTAGGATGACACTTGCTTGTTGACAATACAAACAAATCGATGGACCGTAAGGCAATATTGACTGATTGGAAAACGGTCACTGTCAGTTGCGTTCAATGCGGGAAAAAATACGAGAGTGACGTCTTCCCAGGGCTTAAAATGGTGTATTTATAGGTATTTATAGCGCTAGGTGCACTGATATATAATTTTCTGGAAATTATCCATTCGGTTTATGCAGTGATGCAAATGAATCACAGAACCGGCATACAAAGTGATCATTATGTTTGATTGAAATTAATATAATGACTATTGACTACACGTTCATATACTCTTAACGTGTGGTTGTTAAAAAGAATGGACATAAGTCAACAAATTCTGATTTCTGTAATCTAGTGTTTGAGAGAAGCCCTAGAAGTATTTGTGTTCAACAGTTGTAACTGCACAACCAGTCTAGTGTTTAAGATGGTTTTATGTCAGTGTTTGAATGTCTTGTGTCTTACACGATAATTTGCTTCTTATCCTTAGTTTTATGCTATGTTTATCTTCATGTTTGAAAAAATTAATCGGTAGTTTTTTAGAAGTATTTGTAATTTGTAAAAAACTATTTTGATTTCTGGATTTTGTTGCGTTACGGTGGCTATTGGTATCATTTCGACAAGGTAATTTTCATACTTTATTCACCGCAGAAGCCTGCTCAGGGCTTACTTGTGCGCCAGCTGACAGTATTTATCCCAAGCTAAATAGTGCTCGGTTTCACACAGCCGATCGATTAAACACATAATCGCACAAAAAAACTCCAACTGATTAATATTAATCTAAATGTCAAATAGCTGAACAAACTCTTGTAACGCGAACCGTCGAGAAAATTTCCCGCCATCCAGTTGAACTACCCTGGAAGCGCAGTGAAGTTGAAGCGTCAGCGTTGCTCACACATAAATGTGCAACGGGGCAATATACATCTAATGTCCTCTGTTTAATCTAAAGCATATATATGGAGCATTTCCGGTGTTGGACGCCTTGGGCGAGCGCCGTTGCGCAGCCCGTGTCCCGACCCGGTAATGAGGATGAATAAGCTGTGGCGATAACGTCGAATTAGCCAACACCCTGTCATCGTTAACGCAGTGCCTCGCATTCCCCACGCTGCTACCACGGCTGCCCTCAACCGCGCGGCTTTGTTGAGCAATACAGAATCGCGGTGGTATAGTTGATTAACACGGGGGATCGGTTGGGTCCGGTGTCTGCAGTATGCGGTGCACACAGGATCCTGCATATTGCATAGAAAGGACAATGTGGCATAATATTTTTGACAGGGGATGATTGTACTGGCAGTGAATCCAGTTAATTGAAATAGCTCCAACAAGTCAGATTAATATGAATAGCGTGACTGGCATGACGCACGGACACACCGCGCGATCAGCTGCTGCTTAGAAGAAAGCCCTGGGACGGGCCGGAGGATGCCGGGTTTAAGAAGTTTCTACCGGTTGACGATCGCCGGGCTCGACATTTCAAAGAAATTCCATATTCTCATAAGAGTTGTTATTAATGCTAGCAGCGGCCTGTCGGTTTTTTTCTCAAAATTTTCCTGTAGTTATGTTTAAGTAATTTATTTACTCTGTTAAAAGTTTTGAACCGTGGCGTCATGTAACTGCTAATCATATCAGTGTGTCCACAACAACTTAAGCAATTGGACCATTTCAAAAAGCATTATATTTTTGGCACTATCATACCGTAATTAACGCAACAGTATGCCTGAAAAACAGGACTAATAAATTTAGTTTGCTTCCAAAATATTACAGCTGCATAAAGGAATTTTGACTGAGATGTAATGCAGCAAGTGCAAAGTATTCCTTAAGATTGTGCTCTAAATATTACGGCATGAGCATGACCTCCTAATCGTAGTAAGTGATTTCCCTGGCTCGCCTCTCCAGCAAGCACTTTGCCAAAAATTTGCGTAGATAGCTTCATGTGTTGCTTTGTCTTTGCGGACTGACTAAAAAATGATAAACGGTAATTTTTTAAAAAGCTTGAATTTACGCAAGGTTATACCTGTCCGTATACGAAAATTTCCCTTTCCAGCCAGAATCCAGCAGTATTGTTGAAATATCTTTTAGTACAAAATTTCTGAGCGATGTCCGTCGCGGCAAAATGTATTACTGAAAAGTCACGTAGGTTTTTTATTTTCGTAGTTTGGCGCAAAATTATCACATCTGTTTTCCAATGCGATTAGTCAAAACTGATTTTGTACCTGCAGAAAAAACAACACTTTGTAGTTCTACCGTTCCAAAACCCGAAGTTCTGCTTTTAAGTTTCTCAGATTTCGAGTGTGTTCGCCTAAAATACTAAAACTTAAAAACTGACAACTGCATAATTATGCTCTTATGCTCTTATAGAAGTGGCGATAGAGATGGTATTATTTTCATTGCGCGGTATCTAGTCAATCAGCTTTGTATGGCGTGCGCCATGCTGGTTAACGGGACATTTGGCATTTCACAGAAAAATCGATAAAAAAACTGCTGTCTAACTGAAATAATAATAAAAGTTTGGAAATTCAATATTCTTGGAGTTTGTGTATTTATTCATCAGTCTGTTTCCGCTGCGGCGTCATCGGTATTGAGGGAATTTACCGAGCCCACGTATTCCGGAAGATGGCGACAAGTTCGCGACCTGTTTTTCAGAATCAGCTGTTTATCTTAGAGACTAGGGATTTGTCTAACAAATTTACTCGTTATGCTGCTCAAGTGGAAACCCGATTAATTCACACGGGGGATGAAAACCACATCCAGCATCAGCTTGTCAGACAAACAAATTATTCTTCCGTCTTGCGGCGTTCCATTGCTGCTCCGAAATTTATTCACGCTAAACAAAACCATTAAAAATCAGCAAATATGTATTTTATGTTTTTGCATTTGGAAAAGAAATAAAAGCGCCATAATATACATCTTCTTCAGTGCGTAGTGTGTTGAATATTTTAGCCGGAAGACAGTACTAGTACGTAAATACGGTACACAGTTCAAAACATAAATGGATTTTTATTATCTTAGAGGCAGTAAGTCAGACCGTTAACATATCTTACTAATGATCAGTTATTTTTATTTAGTTACAAACTTGTAAGAAGGCTAATAAAACCTGGTGTATTACAAAGTTTTACCAGCATCGGCAATATGTCATTGATTTTTCCCGCAGAAAACGCGAGGGGTGTTACGGCAGTGCCGTGCAACAACGCGTGCATTAGTCTAATTTAATTGTGTGGACGCAGTTGAATTAAGTAAACGACGCGTGTTGGCCACGATGGTCACGGTTGGATCAGTGCTGGTGTTTTCTCTACAGGCATTGGAAATCCTCCAAGGACACAAATTGGTAAAGCAGTTACATTTCCCTATTGCTTCTTTGGAGTGCCTCTCTTTCTCCTGTTTCTTTACGTGATTGGCGACGATGTGGGCAAACTTATTGCTGTCCTGTATCATCAGGCCGTGTGCTGCAGTATGTGCCGGCACCGCGACAAGACCGTCATGGCGCGCCAGTTTGCCGGCGGAGCGGAGTCGCTAAATGAAAGTTACCGGCGAATTCAGGTATAAAAAAATCTTGCGTACGAGGGTAATGTACAAAAGTCAAAAATGCACACATTCTTACACAAAATTACAAGAAACATTTATTTGTGACATTGCTATAATGCTACATATTTTTAATACAACTATCCCACTCGAGGGTTTTTCACGTTCGAAGTGACCTGTACCATTAACGCTTATTTATAACTGACTGTACGGAATTTCTTTGCAAATGAATGTCTTACGCAAACTGTAATGTTTCCGAAATTCCAGAAAATCCATATTCAAAGATTACTGGATGTTGTGTTGTGCAGCATTTCTGCAAGTACAAAGTGTACAGCGGAGTGTAAATATAGAGCTGCCATTATGTGATTGCAGGCGTGCGTACCTGTGTCGCTGATGTTGGTAATTATTGCTTTTTACGTACTGCTGGCTGTGCTGATCTTCGGCCTATGGGAGAACTGGGATGCCGTCAACTCTATTTATTTCTGCGTGATGACCCTAATGACCGTGGGGCTGGTCGATGAGATCCCGGGCGATAAGCCGGATCGTTATGCGGTCGGCTTTAATCCGACGGCGGCGCTTAGCAATACCACGCATATCCGCCGCAGTTTAGTTATTGTCTACATCATCTGCGGCTGGCTGCTCATCTCGGCCTGCTTCCATGCCGTCGCCTCCAGGATTTCTCTCCATAAGAAGAAGAAACATTTCAAACTCACACACCAAAGCCGCAATACATCTTTGATATTTCGCCATAATGCCCAGTCCAACCCGAATTTCTAAAGCCATTCCGGTACTAAGATGATATTGCATTAAGTTTAGCATTAAAAAAAATATACTTATTGTTGCGGGTGTGAATGTTCAAAACAACCACTATGTGTTATATTAAATAAAATAGTTTTTATTTTTTTAGGTCACTGCTTTGCTAATATGAATGTCCCCCGCTCTGACCAACTGATCATCCACAAAGTCGCTCCGCACCTGACGCTAATGGCCGCGGATCAGTCTCAAACCGCGCTTTGTTGCACAGGAGCGCGCCCCGATTATCTGTGCGAATTTCCCCCATTTAGCAAATCCGGCGGAAAAAGAAACCAGGTCACCAAAGCTATGCGTGCTAAAGGTTGCAGTTGCCGGCTGGATGGAAAGCTGTATATGTCTTTCTTTATATCCCTTATTCCGCGCGGTGGTCAGTTGTAAATGAATCAATGATCTAAATTTGATTGCAATTTTATTGCTTGCCATTATCCAGCCATGCATGCATACACAACATGACGGTTTATACAGATATCGGCTTTTACGGTAAATCATTGCCATTCTTCAGTGAAGGACAAACGTTTAGCTCTATAAGCGTCATCACTAAAATAAATCTTCGGATATACGCTGAGTTATGGAGTGGTCAGTTTACCGGAAACGCTAAACTGTTATCGATAAATCATCTTTAAATCCCTATACAATACATACTAAATTAAATAATTCAACCTGCAGCCTATTTTCTAAAATTTCTCATGAAATCGGGTAAAGTTAAAATAGTCAGCTGTCAATGTAACTGCTAAATGCTACAGTTGTAAATGTTAAATCCTATATCTATGCTATGTACCGACAGATGCAATAAAACGTCAAAACAAGATGTGGAAATACAAATCATAGTTACTTATTTACCTCACTGTAGTTGTTACGAAAGACGCGAATAAATTCTTTGCGTTTTGACGTTAGCATTAAAGAAATTTTTCAACTTTCGGCAATCTTTCGATCCTTACTATCTCTGAGGAGTCCTCGTGAAATACACTTTTTCTCGAATCTTTATTGGCCAATTGGTAGAGAATAAGAACAAACAAGACATGTACAAACGATAAAGTTAATATGACATCATGATGTGATAACAAAATACGTACAACCAGAAATATAATCCCATGCCTAGGCACCCTATCGCTTCCTCCTCTTGCCGGCTCCTCCCCGATTCCTGCGGTGGACTTTGCATTTGCAGTCCAAACGGTGTTTCGGTCCCCCCCGCGGCCCCAACCCCGGTATCATGCAACCACAACTGCCATAAAATCCACCCCGGTCCTTTTGGAACCGGGTGACACTTGCGGAGGTGTGCTGTTTGACCGGCTTCTTACATTTCTCCGACCGGGACCGGGACCGCGACTTGGACCGAAATCCGCTGTCCCGGCGTGCGCATCGGGAGGTCGATTTCTGTGGCATTGTTATAAAATAAGATAACTTTGCACGTAAAAGGAATATATGAAAACGGTTCCAAAGTATTGTAGGTGGCGAAACTGAACTTTTAAATGTTTTTTTTCCACTGCTGCTGAAAAAGGGCACCTTTCTTGTTGTTGTCAGCACAAAGTTATCAAAACTGCCTGGCAACGTCATATCATTGAGGTCAACGTAAAATGCTCTGCCCTCAATTCGATACACAGCTGAAGGTCTTAATAAAGAAGTTAAGCGCACTTTCCACCGGAAGTACCAGTTATGAACTGCACACTTCCTTCCAATACCAACTATCCCATTGCACTACATTATTGGCGGTGGTGGCCAAAACGATCCTAGAACGTATTTTGTAAATCGATCGTTAACGCATTCATCGCCTACGAAAAACTCTTGGAAAGTTGTCTGGCTCTACATTTTGTTAGCGATATCAGCGTGCCTGAATGCCGAAATTATAAAAGCATAACAAAATTATGCAATAAGGCATCTCGTGTGCAAGTACTGTAAATGTTGACCTGTTGTACATCAGCTGGATCGAGTGAATATTGCACGTAGAATTTCATTTAAACCTGCATATCTGACAGAATTCTGCTGCATCGGGCATGCTATTGTAACTATTGTAATTTTTGTTTTTTATCAGATTATCTGGGCCAAATCTTAGGGAACTCGCCTTCCTTTCGGGTAGGAAAATAAATGTTGACTTGCAGAGCTCCTTTCGGGTAGGAAAATAAGTGTTGGCTTGCAGAGCGGCATTATGTGTACTGAAGTATTTCCCATAGTGCTGCTGCATACAGTATACCAATAAACAAATCGTAATACAGTATCACTTAATGATAACGACAATCCGAGTACTGTATTCCCAATATGCGAGTCTTTTCTAACTGCAACTCATACATAACAGGCAGTTCTACATTTTTAGGTTCTTACTTGGCTTTGCTGCGCTCCACTCAGTTATTTCACCAATTACGAGTATAAAACATTCAGAATAACTAGAACTATACTTGTACACAAATAATATGTAGATCTAATGTAGAGTTAAAGGAGTAGCACTGATATAGCTAATATTGTCATCACAAAGCTTGACATTGCGGCTGTTGCCCGACCAACTAATCGGCATTTTAACGCACTGAACTTATTAGGTAGATCCATCATATGTTTCTCCCATTCGGCTTCCATGACTTGTCCGTCGAAATAATTAACCGGTTCACTGTAGGGATATTCATAGCCAGGTTTGCATTCACATTTGTATCCTCCCATTTCGAAGCGCCTGCCCATGATCGGAACACACTGCAAAACACATTCTTATAACCGTACAAAAACCTCAAGTAATTCTGTGTCGCTGCGACGTACATAAGATGATGTGTGATCACATCGGTGGCTGTTTCTAAATGCGTTTGGAGTATTCAACGGAGCGTCACATTGGTTTAAGTCGATTTCCGACAGCGGCATCGTCACCGCAACGACTCCTCTGTAAAAAAAATTAATTCACGGTCAACAGTAACCGATCGTTCAAATTTTCACGCTGCTGTTTACGAACTGGAATTCCACTGCATCTCGGATGCTATCCAGTCCAAAAAAAGGAACAGCATACGTTATGACCCATTCTTTAATGTGTCCATGACAGCTGTAATACGGTGCACTCCAGTGACCGTCATTCAGATTCGGCGCCAGGTACTGCTCGGGATAACGGTCATACTTTATACTGTATTTGCCTTTAAAGTGCACACTGATTACATGCAACATATTTTGAAGGAAATCACTAAAGCCACCCCTTTTCACCCTCGTTTTTTATAGCCACCCCTTTTCCCACCCCCTTAATTACAGGCATACTTTTTTTACAATCAGTTAAACAAGTACACCCTCTCTGCGGTTATTACAGACATCCCTTTCATTGCCCATTTTAAGGCATCTGTGATTTACATAAATTTTATATTTCACCGATGCCGGCGACATTTATAAACATTCTGTTATTTATCACCTTTCCAGTAGGCAAATGACAATACCAACAAAACGTTTGGGTCTTTGATGGGAATTGTATTGTACGAGATCCAGCATTTCTACCGCAGTTCCGTCTCGCTGCCCATTTGCCCTTGTGCGGCTGTTAATGGCTTCAGTGACTTCTACACGGATAGATTGGTACGACACTGCTAGTACTACTGTTTTATTTTCCGCCGAGCAGTTAGCCGTCGATTTTTGGAAGCTTCTTCCATCACTTCCTGAATGAGCGGTTGGTTGTGACTCACAACCCCATCGTTAATCCTTAGAACTTTCGCACGCGTACTAAAAGCGTTTTGACTAAAGTATCCCCCTGTTACGCTACGTTGCGCATTTAATTAACTGCAAAAATATGTCTATAAAATACAGGGTGAAATTAATTAATTAAAAAAGGTGCCTATTATTAAGGGGGTGTAGAAAAGTGGTGGCTATAAAAAACGGGGGTGTTTGGGGTGGCTATAGTGTCACCCTACGGTATTTTGAAACGTAAGCGCTTACATGCTTACATGCATTTTGCGTAATTCCTTTACTCACAGCTACCATTCATAAAATTAATTAGCCATCTGTAATTATATAGGTAAGTATTTTGTATTCTGAGAGTGCGTTTGATATATTTCAGTTTTCCATTTGTTTTAAGATTTGGGACTAGTGTTTGCACCAAAATACAGATATTGCACGAACTGTTAAAATTATTTTAAATAACGTAACTAACTGTTACAGGCCAACAAACGAACCGGTACGATCGCCTCTAATTCGCATCCTGGTGGCGAATTTGGTTAGTTGTGAAGCCGGGCTAGCTTTCCACCTTTCCTTAACGGCCTTGAACCATTCCTGGTTAAGGTAAAACCGATCCTTAATTCCGTGTAAAGTAGCCTGGTCCGCGGCGAAAAATGCCAGGGCGTTTCGAGACGTACGTTCGGCCGTCGGTCCAAAATGCACACGACCCGGAAACTTGCTGTTTTCGTAATAAATCCCGCTACTCAAAATGCGCATGTCGCCCATAACGTTTGCCAGAACCTGTGAGTACGTCAAGCTGACAGTTACAACACAATAAAATATTTTAAGGCATACTAGCTAGTTCGAAAGAGCTTCTTAAAATTAAGTGAAAATCCTTACCTCAGAAAACAACTGATGTTCGTTCAACGGTAAGTCAGCCGTGCGTTCAAAAAACAACTCCGTCGGATCAACAATCTGATTGTAAACGCTGATGAAATGCGCTAGTCGCAGTGCTGTCCGAGCCTGATTTTCCAGCTGGTACTCCTTTCCATAAGCGACATTGCCTTGTAATTTTAGATGCTCCGGACGGAAGTGGCGACAGTTTTCAGGGTTAATTAAGCGCATAGCGCGCAGTGTATTCAACAGCACACGATTAGAGATAATATGGGAATGCCGCACAAGCATATTGGGTAACCGTAAGGGCAAGAGTAATGGTACACCGCATTGAGCCGGATTGGATGACTGCGGACAAAATAAGGGAGTAGCCGAGCGGACATTGCGGTGAATAATGGGATCCACAATAGACAGATTTATCGGCGACATCGGGAATCCTAAACAATAAAAGCCCGTAAAGTTACAGACCATGCAGTGCAACTAGACAATCAAGGAACCGTGGAAAAATCATTGAAAATACCGTGCACATGATATGTATAGTAATAAAATGATAAAATAAAATGTACCGTATACACAAACGAGCTATCTAGTACAAATTGCTGTTATTCCATTTTTATAAGCATGAACTTAATTTGCCCGTTTTAGCTCCGTGCTACAATAAACTTCGTCTGTAGTACATCTAATGTTGGAATCCAAGTTGGAGATGCTTCCACTGATGGACATGCGATTATGTATATTAATTTTATGACTGCATGCTGTTAGTTTTACTTGCCTGCAAAATTCATAATGCCATGATAGACATGCGTATTAAAAGCCTGCCATGTGGGCAGATAATCAAAGGGCACCGTGGTTTTGCCGGTCAGCGTGACCACCGGCAGTCCGTCCGGACCGTAAACAATGCGTCGACCGTCAGGTCCCAAAGGCTGGCCGAAAGCGTCGTAGAACTGGGATCGGTTGGATGTGAACGGATACAGAGGCCATCGGTATCCTTCCGGACTGGATAGCGGATCTAATCCAAACAGGTAAGAGTAGGGCCGCTCCCCACCCAGAGGCCCCAAGTAACCACTGGGGCGTCGATGTAAATAAATGTCAGATGAAGTCGCATGTTCGGTAACCACACGGATGTCTGCAACAAAAATGGTTGCACAGATTTTGGTATAAATATACGAGTACGACAACGGGTACCTCACGATGACCTTTGACTTCTAGCTCTGATACATGTCTAAAACCTGCAGTACATTGGTGAAAACAGGCACAATTATAAGAAATGCGAAATTTCTCGGTCTGCAGGAGCAGATAGATATATGTTTGAGTAGCCGATAACGGTTTTGTAATAAAGCAAGTTTATGTGCACTTATATGTTCTGTTAATTTGTGATATGTGATAAGTATCAAAATACTTATTATGGTTATCAAAATATTTGCTATGGTACAGTATTTTTAAGGCAGACTATACTTTACAGGTACGAAAAAGCTTTCGTTACATACTCCCAATTTTTTCGCATTCGAACTTGGCCAAATAGTCGACTTCAATAGCTCTTTCGATAATTTCTCCTTGAAAGGGACCAATCTGCCAGAATGGCAGCCGATAACCTGGCCGGCACCGGCAAGCGTATCCGCCGCGTTTTAGACCATAACCCTGGAGTGGCTCGCACTTCAAAGATCAGAGTGTTATGCAAATGACCAACATGAAAAACACGGAAACACGCTTACCTACTTCTGTTGTGCGTTTCCTACAACGATCAGTACCGGCATACCAGTTGGGCAGTGGATTTCCTTCGCTAACGGGACAAGGATTCATATCAATTTTTAACAGATCCGTCTCTACTACAACCGCACCAACGTACCTAAAAAATATTAAACCATTTAAAATTAAATATTATTCGATGCATGAAAAGTTTACGTAGTAGGGTTTACGTACGTATACCGGTATACGGTATACAGCTTGGCATAGTACGTTCACTCATCAAACTTTTGCATTTCCACGCACGCATGATAGAATCTTCTTGTAAATTTGCACGCATGATAGAACCTTCTTGTTAACTTGCAGTATTTAATAGTTATTAAAAGAGAAATTTGTTTATTACTTGTGCCGTTGTAAATGCCGCCAGGAAGTATGCCTGGGATGAAGATCAAGTACCGGCGAAACGGCCGCAATTAGCCATTTATTGGTCCGGCCGCAATCGAAGTAAGGCGCCGTCCATTTCACTGAACCGGGGTCCGCCTGTGGCTCGGGTGGACCAAAGAATTCGATGTTTTGTTCCGTTCCGTTGGCGAATTTTATGTTAACTGTGTACGTGACTTTGGCATAATCGGCTGCAGCGGCATCCGGTAACCAAGAAGTATACCAGTCGTTCGTACGGTACAACGTGTGCGTATAGTTTGCAGGCGAATTCGTCACGACTCCTTATATAACACAGAAATGCGCGTTAAACGGTATTCATGATGAATGATAATCGCAACATTGTATTTATCTAAACAGTAAAAGTCAATACAGGGTTTTAAAGTAGAAAATTAACTATACTTTACAGAAAATTAAGAAATAACATGCTGTACTTGAAATCCTGTGTTATAAAATACTGGACGAGATTTTGAATCGCAGTTACAATATTATTGTGGTACATTAGACTGTTTATTCCAGCAACTGGCGTCGCTAATTCAATTACCCAAGTCCTCAACATTGGTCATCAGCAGCGTCGAGTAGCGATGTGGATTAATGGGATCATTAAAATTATCTCCACGAACCGCTCGCGGTGCAAACAACGGGAACGTCTTGTTGAAGTAATCCCGGTACCAGTTAGGATAGCTGCAGTTTACATCGAAGTACACCGCGCTGGCGTTGATCGCCCGATTGGCGGCCACATCGGCCAAATGGGACAGATAAAAGTACATCAGTCCCGGCTCGTCCGGGTCATCCGCATAACGAAACAGGAAACTGTAGAAGAATGCCCGGTTGAGCGCCATATTGTGCACATGCACCAGATTTGTCCGGTTGGGGAATAAAGGATTAATATACAAATCTTTGATACTCGGCAGGTGGGATATTACTTCCCGCGGCATAAACAGTTCATGCCGCGGCCGGCTGGCACAGTTTAGTCCGGTAATGGAGCGGAAGCGGGTAAGAATTTCGTGAAAGCGGTCACTGTGTTGGTGCTCAAATTGCGCCCATACCGATATAGCCAGAAAGAAATACAGCAGTGCCGCACTCATTCTGGTAACCACAAATTGAGTTACCATTTGGGACCATCGAGATCCAGCTGAATAGTCATTAGTAAAAGATTAATGCAGGACGTGAGCACGTATGGCGGCAGTAAGATGTTAGTAAAATATGCGTCCGAAAGTTCCCAATCCAATACGCTGACAAACTGTTAAATTTGAGCAAATAAAATTTGCATAGCTGCTTCATGGATCAAGTACAACAATATTTCCCGAGTATGTACTTCACGTGTGTGCATACCTCAATGAATAGTATTATGTAGCAACGACTGGTTTCGAAGTTGATACCAGATTATTTTATCACCGAAAATTATTGCTGTGAGCTTTGTATGTACGAGTACAGACTGCACTTACTGCATGACAACAATTTTGAAAGAAAATGAAAAAAAGGTTATTTAGCTAAATGTTCGTGTTTGATTACAGAATACAACATGATTTTTGGGAGACGTTCGAAAAAAGGCCTTGCATATTAGCGGGTGCCTTTTCGCTGAATGCTACTTGTGCATCAAATGGGCACAGTGGCAGTGCTGCCAGTGCCTGAGTACCGTCGGAACAGGAAGGCCCTCCTGTACTGCTCTGGGAAGAACCGGCATCGGAAGTGGAGCCAGTCGCACTGCTAGTCAGCGTGGCCGCGGTAGAGCTTGATGCAGTGCTGTTGGACGATGCAGTACTTGTGTAGTGACCTCCTGCCGGTGGTAACTGGTAACCACAGGGAATGCTGGACCCGTCGTCTGCGTAGCATAGCTCGTTGGAAGTGTGATGTGATGACGGTTGCATTCCGTATCCATATACCCCATAATTTTTTCGAGCACCGTACACCCGTGGCTGGCTAGGCGGTAAATTCGAATACGATTGTTGGACAAAATACGGAGGAATTTGCCAGTTTGGCATTGTTAGCGCTTGAGTATACGGTTGTCTGTAGTTACAAGCGACATGGGTGACCTAATCGTTGTAGACTAATGCGGATCTAGAATTGACGGGAAACACTGCACTTACCGGTATGTGTGCATCGGTCCGTAGCGTCGGGCTTCGAATACTGAAGGCTGGTTGTAAAGCACAGGCTGAGAAGCTTGGGGAGCTGACTGTGCTGCGGGAACTGGCGTGTGATGTGGGCCTGGATACGGCGGAGCTGGATAAACCGTACGCGGCGGATATGCCACCGGCGCGTTGCGAATCATGGTTTCATCATAATTCGGTCTGCTGCAAGAGCGGGAAATTTTCTAAATTATCAAGGTATGCAATGTACGGCACGGACAGGTGCATAATTAAAAATGACGCTGTTCAGTGTATATACATACAGTGTATATGTTGTTACAGAAACGCTTTTGTGGGTGTATAACATCGGCATGTCAGACATAGTCACCTGATGTTATTCATATTATAACGCAGAATATTTAGATAGTTCTGTATCGGATGGTTCAACGGTGACCGAAAATCTGGTGATGGATTGCTCACCGAGCTGCAACAAAGAAAATCCACAAACGAATTAATTTCTGTGTACGTGCTTATAAAAACGCGCGTTTGATATTTTGTTAATTTTAATACGAGTACAGTACTGAAAGTGCCCGAACACAATAATTATTTATTATGAATATAAATTACGTTATAAAAATACACAAATTTTGTCGTCTCTTTATTTTAAGCACCACCTGTACGCAATCGGCATGGCAGTTCCTAGATTTTGAGAGGAATAAGATGATCCTCCTGGAGCACATTGACAACACTGTGACGGTGGTCGATTTTCGTTCGAGACGAACCGGTTCTGCATGGCGGCGTATACGTACGAGTCCGGATTTTGCAAAAGGTCATATTCGGGCTGATAATGTCCGTCTGGCCCATGAGTGACTGTCGATGGCGGAAGTTCCGGCTCATAGGGTGACTGGGGCCGATTTCTTGCATTGTCTTGTGCTCGAAAGCTGCTAAGACCGTATTCATTTATCTGACGCTTGGTTATTCGGTTGGCAACACGTTTTGATCCAAAATAATACGGGATGTAAGCGTACAGTCCACTCGCAGAAGGAGAGAAATTCGATTCAACAAGACCGCTTAATGGCGATGCGACTTTCAAAATTATCTACGGAAAGAAAAGTATAATGCGTGCATGAGGAAGTGGAACCAGCCGGAACCAGTTCGGGATCAGATTCCTGCATTTACAAATTCCAGTACTGTATAATATTCGGTTAACTAACTGTCGTGTGATCACTATTCTCAAAAATTATAATTCAGAAAACAAAGAATGTAGCATAAGGCCTTACCAACACAAGTGCCAGATATTCGCCTGTGGTGGGACAAAACATCTTATAAAAACTGAAATTTTTGAAAGGAATACATTCACTCTACTGCTAGTTATTTGCAGTCAACTTTAATTGTAACAATGCGCACACATTTGATGATTCAGTACATTAGGAAATCGATTTACGTGGGTAAAACCATATAATTATAGTATTTTACAGAACTGCTTGCAAGTTCCTACAGTGGCGATGTGAACTGATTGTGACACAACGGCATACGAATACTTTGTCCGAAAAATTTTGACTGACGTTAAATCATTACGATAACCACATCGTAACGCGATTGAAGATTTTGTTTGATATGTGTGGTAACACATAAATATCCAAAAAACTACATACTCTGAGGCTGTTGGGTAATTATTGATGGCAAATAACGTCCAGGAGCGTCAGGCCGGCTTTAACGATTACAGCGGCGCCAATTAACTATGGAATACAAAGTTAATTGTACAACTGTACATTAATTGTACAACTGTACATCTGTGGTTTGCGCATATTAAACGTAGAACCGTCGCTAGAACGTAAACAAATTAGTCAACACTGAGCAGGAAGCAGATACAAAACAACCGATTTAATCTGAACTAACGTACAAATAAATTATAGCTGCGATGTACAAGAACACACGTACTGTACAATACAGCACTACTCATCATCACGGGCGAAGTGACCAGTTCCGGAAGTTCAACCAGGAAATTCCTCGCGCCACTCAAACCAATTCAGGAATTCCCTAGCAAGATAATAATTACGATATAACGTACGAGGTACGTCATCCTGTCATTTCGGAAACTTTATCAAAGCATCCTCACCATATCTTCTGCATCGCAGGTCTGATCGATCTTGCGGACACAAATCCGTGTATTAGTAACTATCGACACGTACATCTTCACCTAATTGCGTCATAAACAGAGGAAATTCTAGAAATACAGTTGGTATCGGATTTTCTTAGCTTTGGTCTTCTATAAAAAGCTCCGGCTTTTAGAAGTTAAATCGTAAAACTTTACACATTTAACACTTCTCAACCCTTTATGTTAAAGTTTGGGTCACACACTTGTTAGGTTATTCTGATATACATAAATAGTTAGTGTATAAAATTGTGCAGTGGCACAGATACGTTCGAGTCACGACAAACAATGATGAATTCCCTTCTTTCCTCTGTAATTGCGGCTCTCCTGCTTTCGGTACGGAAACCATTGATCTGTTTTCTGTTATTTATTTTGAGGGAAAGAAGATACAGCAGTGATGTAATACTTTCGATTATTGTACAGGTTATTGGTAACGAAGCATGTCGGCTGCAAGGCGAAGGTTGTGCCGATCACATTCCGTGTTGTGGCGGCTTGAAGTGCGACAATGGTGGCAACGTTTTTGGATTCTGTAAAGTTTCAGTGCCTCCTTATACGGGAGGGGGCTCCGTCAATCCTCCGCCTAACCCTCCAGCTCCGTCGCCCAGTGGAGGTACGTTATTCATATTTTTCGTATAACAAGAAGTATTCAGTCGCATTTATGTAATAAGCCGTACTGTTGTATTAATAAAGCTTTTTTATGATTACTTCGTATGCAACAGGTGGTCAGCCTGCTTCGGGTTATTTAATCAGCAAAGACGAATTCCGGCAAGCCGTTACAATTAACGGCTACGGCGCTCCCTCGGATGAACAGTACGAGAACATCAACAAAGGCGCCGTCAACGGAAAGGTCACCACGAAACGGGAACTCGCCATGTTCCTGGCCAACATCCTCCACGAATCCGACGGTCTGAAAGCTAAAGAAGAGTACTCACCCATCATTTCCACGGACCCCGCCTATCCCGGGAAGAACTATCACGGACGCGGCTACATCCAGCTGAGCCATATCTACAACTATCGTGATGCGTCATTTGCACTGTATGGCGATGATCGGCTGGCCAGGAATCCCGAGCAAGTGGCCACGGATGATAAGATTGCCTGGGATACGACCTTTTGGTTCTGGGGCAACCGGGTGCACGACAAAGCCGGTGTGGCGGAAGGGAAGTTCGGTGTGACCACCCGGGCGATTAACGGTGGATATGAGTGTGATGGGGCGTATCAGCACAAGGCCAGACGCCGGTTCGCAATGTACACCAAGATCCTCAACATCTTTGTGCCCGGAGAAACGCCCATCGAGAGCGGTTGTTACAACTAACTTCACCGCATCGCGGCAATCTCATGACAATTGTGGTCCTGCAATATTTACTCAGTCATCACGTCTTTCCCCCTAAAATCTGTCGCCAGTCTGCAGATCAAGGATCGACTTCGTAAAATTTGTACCAGTTTGAATGGTTTGATAATATTTAATTTTTTAGCTCGGTTGTTAATGCGACTTCTCTTGTAATTTCTATGAAATTCACCATACGAAAAGTCAAAGTAAATAATTGTAGTAAAATTTGAATTGTCTTCCGTTTAGCAATGTACTGACAATGTTTTATGCGCTTGCTCAGTCGGCTCTCTCGACTTAGATTACATAAAGACGATTAAGAGAGATAAAAGCCAAAAACGATAGAAAAAACTATGCATATTTATTATTCCAGCCGCTTTTTAACAACTGATCAAAAATAAAACTAAAATTAAAAGCACGATCATCATTCAGTATAAAATGCATCTGAAACCGGAACGAAGACAATCACTGCATTCTGCAGAGACCAAATGTAGCTCACAATCACAATATTCCTAATTACACCTAATCCATCAATATGAACGATTACTTCATGCAAGCTGACTTCTTAACAAATACACTTGTGAGAAAGAAGATGAGAAGGAAGCAGAGTGATTCGCTTTTCCGGGTTCGATGAGTCTTACAATGTGATCACAATAAGGGGAGGAAAATGTACTGTAAAGGAAGCTGATACGGTCCAGGCACTGCTTAAGCTGGACGACACGCCGGCACGGTATCCCCGGGATTCTCGCCGTCCATTAAGCAGCCCAGTGGTCGACCATAGAACACTTTATCACCGACATCCACCGTAAACTCAAAATTCTTGGGCGCCTCAAACAACAGCACAATCGTCGATCCCAAATTGAATTCCCCAAACTCCGCGCCTTTTACCAGATCGACCGCCCTGACATCCGCCGAAGACGCCATATGCTGGGAGAAATTCCAATCCTGATATGCTCCGCGTTTATAACGCCGATTATTTGTTTTTAGCCTCTGAATTACAAACGATAAAATCAAATTTAGTTACCAAACAAGCGAGTAACCGTATAAAATATGCCACCAACCTCGTCAAAATAAACACGAATGGATCCGACATTGGTAGCACCGACGGCGGTCATGGAGAAGAAACCATGCAACCAGTTTCCATAGTAAACCACCCGCTCGTTATAGTTGAACAGGCCCTCGATCCGTTTTGTTATAGAAGGAGACACACTAAACAGATGACCTACAACAGAATGAAAAAATTATCATCTAACCATTAATACAGTAGAAATGTATTCTCAATCTAAAAAAACCGCAGAACTTCGATAAAACGGTAGTAGTACAATATACATGCCACCATACAGCACTGCCAAACACAAATATCGAAGCATCTGCGTCACCGGTAAGATCAGACAAGCTCACCTGGAAAATGCCGTCGGGAGATGACCTGCCAGTCCGCCGGGGAATGAAACCGATGGTAATCACCAGGCGCCAAGTAAATCACACAATGATACAAATCAGTGCCCTTATTCCGCAAGCACAAACTCTTCCGGTATGTCTTGGACGGCTCCGGAGCTTCGTTCTACGAGAACAACATCAACGATGTGTAAAACTATCTCACGCGATGTCTGTACGCTTTTTCACATCCTCAAAAGTCAAAACACGCGAGAGAAATAACAAAATCACAAACTTCCCACGGAAAACGTCTATACCTCTTCAACAACTGGTTCATCATCGGCGGTGTAGGTGAACCAGTTTTTGGGGCCTAAAAACGCCGCCAGACTGTAGGTCATGCCTTTGACCTGCTCGACACAATCGTCTTCCACACGGCCGACATGGAGAACGGTGCCATCCGATGGACTCACCTAAAACAATCGTATATTATTTATCGTTAGCAATGTAGCACAACCACACCGTGATACCGATCGCGCTTACCACACAACTCTTGTCGGCCACCGGTCGCACGCCTGGGCGCAAATGTCGGCGGAAGAATTCGCCGAGATTCTTGTACCACTTCAAATCCTGGATGGCCGCTTCCGAGAGATCCACCCCGAACAGCCACACATAGGAGGAGAGAAGGGGACGGCGCAGCCACGGCGGTAAATAGAGATCATTCACCCAGCCCCACGTGCGCGACAAGGCACGGAGAGGCAGGAACTGATACACGTAAAACTGCAAACACAACCCACTTAACATGCATATGCTGCGAACTGGGAAAAAGATCTTATTGCAAATCTCTTGATAGTATTTATAAATAATATCCGCTGACAACTTTTAGTTCCAAAGAAATAATACAAATTCTTTCCTTCGCGTAAATCAGTAATCCATTCTCACTATGGTATTAAAAACTGATAAAAACAGATGAAATGCCTTTATCTACTCGGGGGTAAGCAACGTATTTAAATTATGTAGTACTACAATTACTAAATAATTTAAAACGTGACACACAACGTAGCACAAGTTTAAAACAAAACCATGCAAAATAAGCTTTCGCGCAGAGTGACTGGACAAGTACTGCACTTGAACTGTTTTTTTAAACGTTATTTATTTTCACGCATCTATTGAACAATATCCTTTGTACGACCTAACATAAAAAAGTAGTTCGATCGACTTACCACAGTAGGAACTTGCCAAGGCAGTGCACGTCGCGAATATTTCCCAACATCATGCACATCCGCGCCAGTGTCGTTTTTTGCGTCATCGCTAGCATTCCTTCGATTCGCCGTCAAAAGCTGACGATAGACCAGCCAAATCACCCCCACCACAATGGGAATGGGGGTCCATCTCAACGAGTTCTTGGTCCATTTCGACAAATTGGACTTTCTATACCATCGGGAAGAACTGCTGAAATCTGCAAAACCAATCCCAATTTAAATCCCACGTCAAGATAATGGAAAACGAACGGTCGCACTTTGTTTGTCCGTGTATTCGATCAGGTTCCGCCGCTGGAATCGATACAGGAAACGAGTGTTGAACTGGCTGGCCAGGGATGTATTGGCAAACGAACGGGTTGGAAACCAGCGTGATGGTCGCCAGAATAGACGACGCGCTGGTCCATCATACGCGGATTGAGATGTTCTCGACGCACGCGAGAACAACTTTGTGACTTTCATTCTTACACGAAAACACTGATGATTACAAGGAAACACTCTGCTCTTGTAAGCCGTTACGGGTTACTTCGCTATTAGTGTTGGTAACACCGTAGCACACCGTAAATCCTTTCAGTTTTAACTGAAACAAGAAAATCAGAAACTGCTTATCTTCCAAGTAGCACTTTGCCATTTGCGTTGAACTTTACATCTTGAAACTTGCTATGCAGCGTGCACGCTGCGTTTGCAATGAGTCATCGAAAATGTGAACAACGGTATGTCGAATGCGTCATAAGGCACCGCGTTTGTTTTGGTTTAATTCTAACCCCTCCTACTTCACAGTCTCACAGCTGCTGGATTAAAACAAGATTATAAGAACACTTCTTGATTTGATTAACACCTGAACAGGTCCCGCTTATAATTTTTTTAATGATAAGATTAAGGGTATTTGCTAAATGGCAAATACAAGTACTGTACATTAATTGGCGCCGAGCGCGTCGTCATAATTATAATATTGTAGTCAAAGTGTGTTGAGTCACAAAACGCAAGTGACGGGTTAGAAATTACTACTAATTGTCACCCATCAAAATATCACTTCTACCGGTAAATATTTAGAATGCCCCCATCGCGAACAGCAGTTTTCCAGTACGAACCATATTTTCGAATAGTTTTTATCGGTTCCATTGTTAGGCAAATGTGAGGGCATTAAAGACGGCACGCCGATTACAAACACAATTAATTAATGCCGCTGCAATTCAAAGTTCAGTTTCTTCAACATAAAGTGCAAAGTACGCATACAAACTCACACTGAAATAATTTTATTACTAGTATTCATCAGCCCTCACACGAAGGTATGTATGTACGTGTACATGCTGTACTATACTTCAAACCATACTTTGCGCCATCTTTCATTTATATTTTTCATGCGGTACAAAAACCACCACAGCCCGCAACGTCCTTGATCACATCTTACAACATAATCAGTAATCATCTCCGTAAAAATCAGAAGGAATACAATAACATGAAAGACATTCAGAAACCACTACCAATGAAAAATCAAAAACAGGGATTTTATACAACAAAGTTTGCAAAATGGAGGATAACGAGAAAAATTTATCGAGTATAACGTCTAAAAGATTCACAAAACAACAGGTCATGTCACTGTAAAGAGTTAATACGGCTAACAATCCATTTGGCAGACTGAGAAGGAAATAAAACCACCTGGACGATCACTTAAAGACACCGCTGGCTTAAAAGCCTAACTACATACAAATCTAGTCATTAACAGCTTACTATAAGCCAAAAACTGTAAAGCTTCCGGTTATCAGGCATCCATAAACATCAATCCAGCCATAACGGAGAATCCGATAACCATGCAAAGAATCTTCAGTAACATCACACCACCGGCTTCGTCTTGAGAATTCTTCAGCATTTCATGCGGCAAAACCTCCAGAAATGTAATGAACAAAAATGTACCACAGGCCATCGCTTGCAGTACCGCACTGATTATGCCGGCTGCACCATCCTGGTTGAAATTCTCCATACCCATCGCAATCCCAATTCCTGCAATACCGGTATACAGCTTTATCAGACACAATAAGTGTACTTATAGTTCTACACGCACACATTTCAGCAAATAAAGCGTTAAATATGCTTCATTTTGAAAAATCCGGCAGTAATTGGATAAGTACGAAACCGTCAACGCCTTCAGGTTTTACGGCGAAACACTTCGAGAAAGTTTTACTTTTTACAGATCCGAGTTACACATAACACACCACGGTTCTCACTCGCATATCGGTTGCAGTCTCTGTCCGGCATTTAAAATTCGAGGCAACAGCAGCGATCTATTTTACCAATTTGCTTCCACTTTTACAATCTCTATTTTCATCATGCTATCTACATGAACTTGGATTATCGACTCCGGCTCGAGGTAACAAAGTTCAAAATGTATCATATGTATTAACTCTGAGTCTAGACATTTCATGGTGCAGTGTAGTATTTTCCTTATACCAGTTCTCCTGCTATCTGAAGCAAACTAACTTTTTGGATGTAAAACACTATAAAGCCGCAGGTAAGCTTTCACGAGTTGTTAATAAAAAACAGCTTCACAACTACGATGAAGTAGCTCCGAGCTGATGCCAAAAATATTAATTTACAACAATTTAACGATAGATAATATGCCACAAATCACAATTTACTAACAGAAAAATATAATAAATAATTCTTGTCAAAACTGGTAAACAGTAATTATTTACAAATCTTTCTGTAGACATTTTTACCAAACTATTAACGTCCTGCTGGTTTGTACAATTTGAACATACCGAACAAGACTGAAACATCAAAATGCGTAAAACAACAAAACACATTCTCTAGATAGTAATATCGATCTACACTAGCAACAATACTTCAGAATAGTGCTAGCAAACACTAAAAAACACTCTCATTAATTATTTTACGGCAAGCCGTTTCTTTCCCCAGGCTTTCGGAATATCCCCTATTGTACCAAAGGATGTACACGATACACTTCCGTCGAGAGATCTGACAAAACGGAACGTAACGCACGGCAAAAACAGATTGTTGTTACCGGCATATCGACTTTGTACACTAGTAATTCAACGGCAATGGCCGCCACCATGCTCCTCAGCATACGAGCAGCAATCATAGTGACGGTGAAGCTCGCACTAGCTCAGGAACCGGAAGTCATTCTAGGCGATGCCTACCAAGAGCCAGCCATCATTCCGGAGACTATCGACAGCAAAAGCATAGAATGCCGCGTTGCTGTCTCAGGCAATGGCTTTTCCGGCGCCTATGCTGCTTATAAGCTGTCACCGCAGTACAAAAACCAAATCTGCATTTTCGAGCAGCTGTCCCGCATCGGGGGTCGCATGCACGATGTGTCCGAGCGCCCTGGCCAGCCGGTATACGGACTAGGCCCATTGACGATGCTCGACAATCAGTACAACATGCTCCGTCTAGCAGACGAACTGGGCATAGAAATCCAGTCCGCCGACAATGAAAATATCCTGCAAAAAGCTCGTGGACGCTATTACCTGGCCAACAGCACTTTCTCCAATACCAGATTAATGTGCAAAAAAATTTTCCACGGAGTGGATTGCGACGGCTGGAACCATACCGACACGGACAAGGGAATGTGGGATTTTGTACTAAAACTTTATGCAACGAAGAACGAAGCTCTGCAGAACTATGCCGACATTAGTACATTCCTTCGTGGCATTTTGGGCACAGAAGGGTTTGCTTTTCTCAACGAAGCCGTTCCATGGCAGAGTTTCTTCGCGCCGGGCGGGCACATCACGAATTTCCTGGAATATATGGCCAACGTTGATAAGCCCAACATGTCCAGTCTCCAACGGCGAAAACGTTATGCCGTGGGCGGCATGTCGATTTACCCGAAGACAATGATCGCCATGGCAAAATCTAACGGAGCACGGGTTTTCATGAACGAAAGCATTCAGAGTATCGACGAATCCGAAGGAAAATTCCTCATTATTACAACAAAACGCACAGTTCTAGCGGAGAAAATCATTAACAGCATCCCTCCGTTTGCATTTCGCAACATTTCCGGCAACATCGCAGAGCAAATCAAACAAGCACCAGAATTCAAGAGTATTACAACGGAAGCATGCGCGACAATCGACGCCTGGTGGGATGAGCGTTTTTGGGAGCGATCGAAATTCTCCCAGGGAGCTATTCTGCAGAGAATCATCGCCCACGGAGAATGCTTCAATCTGGTAGAAACGCCAACGTACGACTACATCCGTGACACGAATGTCACCCGTGCAGTGTATGACGACGGCGTGTATTGCAACGGAGGACGATAATCCACAGCGGAAATGTTCAAATGCTCAAACATGAACTTCAAAGGGAATGCAAAGGTGTTCACGGATATAGTTGTACCGCTCCCGCGAACAGTCATAGGTAAGTGTCAAAAAATTTTTAAGAACGGTTGTTCGAGTAAACCGTAAACGAAGCCTACTTTAGGTACGATTCATGAGCAAGCATGGCACGCTCTAACCGCCGCAACGAAATTTTTGAACGATGATATCAGGAAATGGGCGTTACATCCAGCAGGCAACAAAACCATCGTCATGATCGGAGAAGCATATATGCCTGCGTATGTCGGATGGACCGAAGGAGCTCTACGCTCGACAATGTGGGCACTACAAGAACACTACGGCTTCTCATTTCCATGCCTAGGATCTTCCGAAAAAAGCGCCGACTGTTCGACACAGTAACGTTCAAGCATGAAATCTTCTCTACTGGACCAATATTTTCATGTCTATTTGTTTGCTTAAATTATTAGTATTGCCTGGTTTGCTAATAAAGTCAAATTCGAGCGCAACAATTTCAGCCATACTGCTTGTCGAAAAAATTATGATACTGTACTAATTTACACTACTGCATTTTTAAATCTAAATTACAACTATAACACTACTGCATTATTAAAATTAAGTAAAGCTTACCTAACGGTGAGGCAGCAGCAAATACCAGCGCCAACATGATAACGTTCCGAAACGCCATCCGACTCTGCATTAAATTCATCCCGACGGAGAAGGCCACCACGCATTTATGTATCAACAACGCTCCGAATATTTCCACCACCTTTTGCCGCGATCCTTGCAATCCGACCGCTAATCCTTCGAAGACAGAGTGTAGACTAAGAGCAACCAACAGAATAAAGGAACGCGCAGTGTGTGTCGTCTGATGGGACTTGGATTTAACCAGCCGCAGCGCCGGTTCAACGGATCCCTGCGAATGCCCGTGACCATCTTCGCGTGTCGGCGACGAGGACCGCGATGACGCAACGGAGGATAAAATTTCTGGCTCATTATCCACTGCGTCCGGCAGAGAGATTTCCGATGAGCGTCGTGTACGGAAATCACCGCGGTCGTCATTGCTCGGTGGTTCCTGGGAATGCAGAAAACATGACAGACCAGGCATACCATAATTTCCTCAATCACTTTGCAATTATACGATATAATTATGTAAACGAGTGGAAATTAGAACGCACAGCACGCAAAAGAAAGCTAACCAGTAACAACTACAAAAATCAAAAACCAAGACACCAGCAGAGGAAAACCACAATTCAAACTAAAATTTGACAGCTTAATTTTGTATGGCTTCTCCTGTTAAAACCGTAAAACAACAATAAAACAGGATGATCTATGTACTGTACCTGGTGTGCAGGAGGATGATAGGGATTTGGCATGGCATATCGCTGATTAATTTGCTCCCTCAACAACTCCGATTCGCTGACGGTTCGATGCCTGAGACGGCCTCTTTCTCGTGCCTCCTGCCTCTCCGCATCCACTCGTCCGCGCCCGTGGCCATGATCATGCCCGTGAAAGATGTGCACATCCTCCGTTTTGCACGAGACCACAATACGCTCCACCATCATCACCAACAATAAACCGAACACAATACAAAACTGCGCCAGTGGATACTCTGTGTGGATGCCCACTTTTGGAAGATGCTCTTTGAAGGCATCGATCACATCCGGCTGCAAATCCAGAAACAAAGTGCCCAGGAAAACACCACAGGCGAAACAGTTTAGGAAGCTTATGCCGTAGCGAAACAGACGGGAATGCGGGCCGCTCTCCAAATGATGACTTCGAACACTGAAACCAGTGGAAATGCAGTAATCGGGTAGCAAATCAGAATGTCCACTTCCGATTGTAAACGCAAAAACAGCATAAAATCACAGAAGATAAGAAACTGAACACAGTGTGACGCTACCGTCGTAACTCGTCAATGATTGCATAACTTCCGCGCAGAAGTAGAGAGCCTGCATGCTTTAGCAGATCGTATTTCTTTGCAACTCGATTTACTAAATGCAAAACGAACAACAACAACAGCTTACCTAGAAATCAGCCAGGCAGGAAGAAGGCAGAAAATAGATGTTATTAGAAACATACCACCAAGAACCAAGCCTTTCGTCAGTCGCAAACTGAGACCTGCCATTTCTCCTTAGTCGATCGCAGTTCGCAGATTAGAAGAAACTGGATTAACTACTTCTTGTAGTACGCAAGAGTAAAGAGTATCTAATTATCTGTTTAAGCAACATTCCAAGAAGTCTAACCATAAAGCAATCAAACCTCAGAAATTCAGAAATCAGAATTTCAGAAAAGGCTGAAGAGTTCAAGAGCCATTTAATACTCTGTAAAAACAGTAAAAATTAATAATCCAAATCATCGAAGTATGTACTGTACACTGGTACAACCGTACAGCTGATTGATGTACAGATATCTCCCACGTTAAACAAAGTACCCACTACCCACCCTGGGGTGGCTTGCATGCGGCAGTTGCACTCTTCTGATATTATAAGCTTGCACTTCATGGTCGTAGACTCGCAATAAAATTTTATTTAAGTACTTAATTTTATATCACGGCTTTGAAAAAAAAAGTTAGTGGAGCAATTAGTGTTAGTCGATTAACAACTAAGCATTAGTAAAAGAAAGCCTCTATTAAGCGTCGTCGCCTGCTGACCACTGGCGCAGTGCTCGTTCTGATCCAGGGACTAATATTGCAGTACTAGTATAACTAACGAGTTACGGAGTGAATCTGGACATCAAAATTACCGTAGCCGTCAGACATAAGGCGCAATAGTGAAAATACCGCTGACTTTGTTGTGCAAAATCTTGCCAAGCATCTAATTTACGAAGCGATTTACGGTAGGAAACTTCCATTGGTACATACATTATTATTATTATTATTATTATTATTACATCAGGAGCAGACAACCCGCTAAACGGGACTTCAACGTCTGGTCGGTAAAAAGCTAAACAAAAAAGCAATTGCTAAGACAGATCAACAGTTCGGAGAGCAAATTTGAAAAATCCCACACCATCAACACTGAGTATCTGCATGTTATGTTTCTGTATGCGCTCAAAAATGTTCTTTAGTCGCATAGCCAGCGTGCCTTCTCCAATTTTCATCTTCGCACGGGCAGCAATTCTCGTCGGGTTCCGCAGGTTGTAACGCGCTCCCAAATCTGTGAAGTCGATCATTTCCACCATATTGTAACAGGCAAGCGCGAGGAGATCACGAGTGATGCTTTATTGTACAAATAAAGGAACAATACTGCGTAATAGCAGGGAATGCAAGAACAAAGCACTGATGGCTAAACAAGCAAGTGAATGCTGAAAGGCTCTTGAGCGTTCGTCAAGGCGTGAAAGAAGCAACTGGCGGCAAGCACGTGCTGTGTGCCATCAGCTGTGTGATCATGCGCAGACTGGACTCAATCCAACGCGAGCGTATGAACGCTGAGTCATACTGCGAAAGAGGGACGAGAGAGCAAGTATGCTCAGTGTGTGCGCCGCGTATATCCGCTTCAGCGGATATGAGTGCAGTGCAGCAGCACACGTACGTACAGCGAGAGAGGCGATATGGCAAGCATGAGTGCAAATACGTCCATGGTGGGCCGTATGCACCAGGCGCAGTCATGTGCCTCTGACATGCCTCTGGGCGGGAATCCGAGCTCCTGCGAAGGATGCTCCGACTCGGTACCGCACCAGTACCGCACAACTCTCCAGTCGGACCCGATGTGGGGTCGCTGGTACGCGTCCTCTAGCAGTGGGAGTCCGGTGTCTGGTTGACCGTCCCTTCTTCACTTCCAGACCCATGAGTGGAAACCACTCACGGCCGAAAAAATCCGGAAGCCGCTCGGGCGTTTCGTTGGACCGGTGACGCTTCTGTTGGCTGGCTTCTTGCTTCTGTTGGCAACGGAGAACAATGTGAAAGGAAAGTGTAATGAAAGTTGTATACAGCGCGAAAGTATGAAATAAAGTTTAATCACAATTCCAGTGAGCAAAAGGGGTTACAAAACAGATCTGTTAAAGAGATCGAACTAGAAAAATACAATTCAGTTTGTTAGGAGAACTGCTAAAAAAAATGCAAAAATCTGTCCGGGGGTCCTATTCCGACTAGGATGACGTCCACGGGGCAGTTGAGTCTCCACGGGGTCTCCTGTCCACTTTCATCCGGTAAGTTGGGTCCGGGGCATCGGTTCCCGGGTTACCCGTCGTAACCGGTTACATTCACCGAGGTCGGCTAAGCACGGTTAAACACTTACTTCCGACTCGTATCCGTCCGTCAGGGATAGAGAGGCACTGTTGCAATTGCAAATGCCGAGGCATCCTCTCTGAATGGGGAATAGGACCGAGGTCGGTTTGACCAAGGTCGGCCTACCGGTAAGTCGACCGGCGGCTGGGAAAATTCGGCTATGTTCCGAATTCTTAAAGTCCAGGTCGGAAAAGGCTGTATGTAAGTCATGCGGCCTGTGTGGTCGTCATGTACAGCAGTTCCGTTCAAAAGTGGTCGGTTACAACCGTTCAATCTGCTACCACGAGCCTGATTTGGAGCTATTCGAGTCGAACTGGCTCGAAGGTCCGGTCGGAATTTATAAGTTTCAGCGATGGAAGTGTCCAGTCGACTTCCGTCCAATCTGTTCCGCTGTTATCCGACCTTCTGTCGAGGTCGGTTATCCTATCCGTCAGTGGTCGACTAGGGTTAACCCGCAATGACATGCCCATGTGGGGCTAAGCAAGTTCCTTCAAGTCGAATTCGTCCACTGCAGATATTTATCGTTCTTCTTCTGTCATGTTGACTAAGTTGCCGACTTCCGACATGTGGTCGGTTATGGTTGACTTCGGGAGGTCGGATGAACTATGTTTCCATCCGTCCGAAGGTCGGATTTTTCCGTTAGGAGGTCGGTTCCCGACTTCTGGATGCCTTTGCCGACTTGTTGTCGTACCCTCCCGACTTCTATGCGGTCGGTTCCGACCTCGGCTTGAGGTCGGATGTCCATATCCGAGTTCGGAGGTCGGTTATTTTCCGACTTGCCCAGGTCGGATAAACTTTGTGTCTATCCGCCGGGAATGCAAGTTCTTCCACTGAGAGGTCGATTTCGTACTTCTAGTTGGTTTTCCGAGCTGTTGTCGCTTACTTCCGACCTCCATCTGGTGGTTGTCAACTTGATTTTAGGAGTTCTGTGCGTTCGGCTACAGTTGGCCGGGTCCTTGGTGTCAGGACATCCTACGGTCAGTTCGGACTGGCAGAAGGATGTTCGGCAGCACAACTCCGTTCCTTCTGTGGTTTCTGATATGAACTCCAGGTCGGATCCGAGCTACTGTTGAGGTCGGTCAATCCGAATGACTTGCTTCTAGGCCGTCGAGTCGTGCGAGGTAGAAGTTCCTTGGCGTCTGTTGGCCGATTGACTGGCGTTTCATCATGCACTGCGCTCGCTCACAACGCTAAGGGTCTTTGTGGCCCCGGTTGCCGAGCCGAGCTCTTTGGTTTAAACTTCATGCACATGCAAGTCCCTGAGGTCGTCAGATCCGATTCTTCCATTTTGTTTTGTCGCGAACCTGTGACGCCTAGCCGCTTCTGTTGGGGGTAGACGACTCATGTCCACGGGGAAATTTTCTTTGCCGCTGACAAAGGCCATGCTGCCACTTTTGTTGCGGCCGCATGATCCTTGTCAGCGGGGTTCATTAGGAGGGTGCAGATCGCGTATTCTAACACGGTCTGCCTAGGATGTTCCATTGGGGACATGGGGAAGCAGGTCGCGGCGGAGTCGTTGTAGTGGCGGCCAAATCACCGTCGCTGTTCCTCTTCAGGGAATGGCAGCACGTTCAGAGACGCGCGTAGTCGTGGTCACCGGTGAATCGGCTGGTTTACCCGATGTCGTCCGGGGGAGACTGCGGTTGATCTCCAGGTACAGAGCCTGTAGGTCTGGATTCAAACGGAGAATCCGGTTGAATTGCCACGTAACTACTGCCGGCTTCCGTCCATTCTCCATAGTCGACTTCTGTTGGTCGCTATTGCTATCGTTTCCAAAGCCGACTTGTGTAGTCGGCTTGCACAACCGACCTGTGTGGTCGGCTGATGCAGCTATGTCTGCAATGTCTCCAAGTTATGAGGAAGGTACAAAGTCGGCCTTTGTGGTCGGCTCAAGTACGCGTAGTCGAATCCGAGTGTCCCTGCGCTGTTGGCGACTCGGCCGAGGGATTTCCGCTATTTACAATGGTGAAGGCTGCCCGGCTACCCGGTTCCGAGGTTGGCCACGGGTGCTTGGCAAACATAGCGTGGAACGCGCGCAGCGACGTGTTCCGCGCCATGTTAGCGTAATCCTCTCGGTCTGTACTCCGGAGTCGGTTGGCCGGAGTAATCTTCATAGCCGATCGTGGTTAATGGCGTGATCTGTACCATGTAACTATCGGTCGGCTCCATGTAACGCGGATTGGGGCTTCTGTTGGCTCCGATGGTCGCAGAACGTGGTTGACGATCTGCTCTGTTAGCAGATGTGGCTACGATCTGTTCTTGCCATACTGGGGAACTGGGGTCGGTTGCCCAGTTCGTTCCAGGGGATTCCTTGGGGGACGTACCGGTACGGTGAAAGAACCGAAATACCCGGGTCTAACCACGCGTTTCCGGGTCCGACCAAAGAATCCGGCCGACTTGTGTAGTCGGTTTTTCTGGCAAAATCGTCGTTGACGTCCGCCGCGTACATGGTTGGTCATTTTCCGAAAAAAAAGAACTAAAGAAAAGTGTCCATTCCGAAGTCGGTTCTCGACGGCGCTGTTTCTCAGCTAGACTATTTCTCAGTCGGAAGGTCGGTTCTCGACCGTGCCGTTTCTCGGCAATGCCTCATTGAAGTGATTCCAATGGGGGATCGAGTTCCAGTGTGGGAACTCGATCTTAACTGAGTGGGACTTCGACGGGTTTGTCGCCGCCGAAGTAATCTTCCTCTTCGTCATCGTCCGGGCCAGGTCGGTTATGTGGCCGTATATTTGGGTCCCTAGGTTTACAAGTTGCCGGGCCACTCCGTTGAGACATCTCGTCGGTCTCATCCGTTTCTTGGCCTGGGCGCTCCGCTCTACTCTTCCTTGAGTCCCTGGCCGCTTGTTTGCGGAGTCGCAGCGCATACGGTCGTGCGCCGGGTGCTATGTCGTCCGACATCCAAGGTTCGTAGGGCGACGAGTTAAATCCGCTAGGCAAGGTCTTCTTCTCGCGGTACCAGCTGATGAATCGGGTTGCGTCGTCGCTGGGATCTACGTGATCCTCACGAAAGGCATACTTTGTCGCATACCGTTCGTGGGTGTACAGCAAGTCACGCATCCAGACAGCTAGGATAACACTTCTCATCGGTGTGCCGAGTTGGGCTACGAGGGTTTCCACAG